CAAGTGTACCCATTCCTTAGTCGCGTGAAATCCTAATTCTCAAGTGTACCCATTCCTTAGTCGCGTGAAATCCTAATTCTCAAGTGTACCCATTCCTTAGTCGCGTGAAATCCTCATTCTCAAGTGTACCCATTCCTTAGTCGCGTGAAATCCTAATTCTCAAGTGTACCCATTCCTTAGTCGCGTGAAATCCTCATTCTCAAGTGTACCCATTCCTTAGTCGCGTGAAATCCTCATTCTCAAGTGTACCCATTCCTTAGTCGCGTGAAATCCTAATTCTCAAGTGTACCCATTCCTTAGTCGCGTGAAATCCTAATTCTCAAGTGTACCCATTCCTTAGTCGCGTGAAATCCTAATTCTCAAGTGTACCCATTCCTTAGTCGCGTGAAATCCTAATTCTCAAGTGTACCCATTCCTTAGTCGCGTGAAATCCTAATTCTCAAGTGTACCCATTCCTTAGTCGCGTGAAATCCTCATTCTCAAGTGTACCCATTCCTTAGTCGCGTGAAATCCTAATTCTCAAGTGTACCCATTCCTTAGTCGCGTGAAATCCTAATTCTCAAGTGTACCCATTCCTTAGTCGCGTGAAATCCTAATTCTCAAGTGTACCCATTCCTTAGTCGCGTGAAATCCTAATTCTCAAGTGTACCCATTCCTTAGTCGCGTGAAATCCTAATTCTCAAGTGTACCCATTCCTTAGTCGCGTGAAATCCTCATTCTCAAGTGTACCCATTCCTTAGTCGCGTGAAATCCTCATTCTCAAGTGTACCCATTCCTTAGTCGCGTGAAATCCTCATTCTCAAGTGTACCCATTCCTTAGTCGCGTGAAATCCTCATTCTCAAGTGTACCCATTCCTTAGTCGCGTGAAATCCTCATTCTCAAGTGTACCCATTCCTTAGTCGCGTGAAATCCTAATTCTCAAGTGTACCCATTCCTTAGTCGCGTGAAATCCTAATTCTCAAGTGTACCCATTCCTTAGTCGCGTGAAATCCTAATTCTCAAGTGTACCCATTCCTTAGTCGCGTGAAATCCTAATTCTCAAGTGTACCCATTCCTTAGTCGCGTGAAATCCTAATTCTCAAGTGTACCCATTCCTTAAGTCGCGTGAAATCCTCATTCTCAAGTGTACCCATTGCTTAGTCGCGTGAAATCCTCATTCTCAAGTGTACCCATTCCTTAGTCGCGTGAAATCCTCATTCTCAAGTGTACCCATTCCTTAGTCGCGTGAAATCCTCATTCTCAAGTGTACCCATTCCTTAGTCGCGTGAAATCCTCATTCTCAAGTGTACCCATTCCTTAGTCGCGTGAAATCCTAATTCTCAAGTGTACCCATTCCTTAGTCGCGTGAAATCCTAATTCTCAAGTGTACCCATTCCCTAGTCGCGTGAAATCCTAATTCTCAAGTGTACCCATTCCTTAGTCGCGTGAAATCCTAATTCTCAAGTGTACCCATTCCTTAGTCGCGTGAAATCCTAATTCTCAAGTGTACCCATTCCTTAGTCGCGTGAAATCCTCATTCTCAAGTGTACCCATTCCTTAGTCGCGTGAAATCCTCATTCTCAAGTGTACCCATTCCTTAGTCGCGTGAAATCCTCATTCTCAAGTGTACCCATTCCTTAGTCGCGTGAAATCCTCATTCTCAAGTGTACCCATTCCTTAGTCGCGTGAAATCCTAATTCTCAAGTGTACCCATTCCTTAGTCGCGTGAAATCCTAATTCTCAAGTGTACCCATTCCTTAGTCGCGTGAAATCCTAATTCTCAAGTGTACCCATTCCTTAGTCGCGTGAAATCCTAATTCTCAAGTGTACCCATTCCTTAGTCGCGTGAAATCCTAATTCTCAAGTGTACCCATTCCTTAGTCGCGTGAAATCCTAATTCTCAAGTGTACCCATTCCTTAGTCGCGTGAAATCCTCATTCTCAAGTGTACCCATTCCTTAGTCGCGTGAAATCCTAATTCTCAAGTGTACCCATTCCTTAGTCGCGTGAAATCCTCATTCTCAAGTGTACCCATTCCTTAGTCGCGTGAAATCCTAATTCTCAAGTGTACCCATTCCTTAGTCGCGTGAAATCCTCATTCTCAAGTGTACCCATTCCTTAGTCGCGTGAAATCCTAATTCTCAAGTGTACCCATTCCTTAGTCGCGTGAAATCCTCATTCTCAAGTGTACCCATTCCTTAGTCGCGTGAAATCCTAATTCTCAAGTGTACCCATTCCTTAGTCGCGTGAAATCCTAATTCTCAAGTGTACCCATTCCTTAGTCGCGTGAAATCCTCATTCTCAAGTGTACCCATTCCTTAGTCGCGTGAAATCCTCATTCTCAAGTGTACCCATTCCTTAGTCGCGTGAAATCCTCATTCTCAAGTGTACCCATTCCTTAGTCGCGTGAAATCCTAATTCTCAAGTGTACCCATTCCTTAGTCGCGTGAAATCCTAATTCTCAAGTGTACCCATTCCTTAGTCGCGTGAAATCCTAATTCTCAAGTGTACCCATTCCTTAGTCGCGTGAAATCCTCATTCTCAAGTGTACCCATTCCTTAGTCGCGTGAAATCCTCATTCTCAAGTGTACCCATTCCTTAGTCGCGTGAAATCCTAATTCTCAAGTGTACCCATTCCTTAGTCGCGTGAAATCCTAATTCTCAAGTGTACCCATTCCTTAGTCGCGTGAAATCCTAATTCTCAAGTGTACCCATTCCTTAGTCGCGTGAAATCCTAATTCTCAAGTGTACCCATTCCTTAGTCGCGTGAAATCCTAATTCTCAAGTGTACCCATTCCTTAGTCGCGTGAAATCCTCATTCTCAAGTGTACCCATTCCTTAGTCGCGTGAAATCCTCATTCTCAAGTGTACCCATTCCTTAGTCGCGTGAAATCCTCATTCTCAAGTGTACCCATTCCTTAGTCGCGTGAAATCCTCATTCTCAAGTGTACCCATTCCTTAGTCGCGTGAAATCCTCATTCTCAAGTGTACCCATTCCTTAGTCGCGTGAAATCCTAATTCTCAAGTGTACCCATTCCTTAGTCGCGTGAAATCCTAATTCTCAAGTGTACCCATTCCTTAGTCGCGTGAAATCCTAATTCTCAAGTGTACCCATTCCTTAGTCGCGTGAAATCCTAATTCTCAAGTGTACCCATTCCTTAGTCGCGTGAAATCCTAATTCTCAAGTGTACCCATTACTTAAGTCGCGTGAAATCCTAATTCTCAAGTGTACCCATTCCTTAGTCGCGTGAAATCCTAATTCTCAAGTGTACCCATTCCTTAGTCGCGTGAAATCCTCATTCTCAAGTGTACCCATTCCTTAGTCGCGTGAAATCCTCATTCTCAAGTGTACCCATTCCTTAGTCGCGTGAAATCCTCATTCTCAAGTGTACCCATTCCTTAGTCGCGTGAAATCCTAATTCTCAAGTGTACCCATTCCTTAGTCGCGTGAAATCCTCATTCTCAAGTGTACCCATTCCTTAGTCGCGTGAAATCCTCATTCTCAAGTGTACCCATTCCTTAGTCGCGTGAAATCCTAATTCTCAAGTGTACCCATTCCTTAGTCGCGTGAAATCCTAATTCTCAAGTGTACCCATTCCTTAGTCGCGTGAAATCCTAATTCTCAAGTGTACCCATTCCTTAGTCGCGTGAAATCCTAATTCTCAAGTGTACCCATTCCTTAGTCGCGTGAAATCCTAATTCTCAAGTGTACCCATTCCTTAGTCGCGTGAAATCCTCATTCTCAAGTGTACCCATTCCTTAGTCGCGTGAAATCCTAATTCTCAAGTGTACCCATTCCTTAGTCGCGTGAAATCCTAATTCTCAAGTGTACCCATTCCTTAGTCGCGTGAAATCCTAATTCTCAAGTGTACCCATTCCTTAGTCGCGTGAAATCCTAATTCTCAAGTGTACCCATTCCTTAGTCGCGTGAAATCCTAATTCTCAAGTGTACCCATTCCTTAGTCGCGTGAAATCCTCATTCTCAAGTGTACCCATTCCTTAGTCGCGTGAAATCCTCATTCTCAAGTGTACCCATTCCTTAGTCGCGTGAAATCCTCATTCTCAAGTGTACCCATTCCTTAGTCGCGTGAAATCCTCATTCTCAAGTGTACCCATTCCTTAGTCGCGTGAAATCCTCATTCTCAAGTGTACCCATTCCTTAGTCGCGTGAAATCCTAATTCTCAAGTGTACCCATTCCTTAGTCGCGTGAAATCCTAATTCTCAAGTGTACCCATTCCTTAGTCGCGTGAAATCCTAATTCTCAAGTGTACCCATTCCTTAGTCGCGTGAAATCCTAATTCTCAAGTGTACCCATTCCTTAGTCGCGTGAAATCCTAATTCTCAAGTGTACCCATTCCTTAAGTCGCGTGAAATCCTCATTCTCAAGTGTACCCATTGCTTAGTCGCGTGAAATCCTCATTCTCAAGTGTACCCATTCCTTAGTCGCGTGAAATCCTCATTCTCAAGTGTACCCATTCCTTAGTCGCGTGAAATCCTCATTCTCAAGTGTACCCATTCCTTAGTCGCGTGAAATCCTCATTCTCAAGTGTACCCATTCCTTAGTCGCGTGAAATCCTAATTCTCAAGTGTACCCATTCCTTAGTCGCGTGAAATCCTCATTCTCAAGTGTACCCATTCCTTAGTCGCGTGAAATCCTCATTCTCAAGTGTACCCATTCCTTAGTCGCGTGAAATCCTAATTCTCAAGTGTACCCATTCCTTAGTCGCGTGAAATCCTAATTCTCAAGTGTACCCATTCCTTAGTCGCCTGAAATCCTAATTCTCAAGTGTACCCATTCCTTGGTCAGGCCACCATCCACACGTTTTTTGTGCCAACCCCAAAATATTCCGATCTCTTTCTCGCCCCTTCATCCTCCACCCCTTTCATCCTCCACCCCCTTCATCCTCCACCCCCTTCATCCTCCGCCCCCTTCATCTTTCGCGCCCCCTTCATCCTCCGCCCCCTCATCCTCGCCCTCGTCCTTCCTTCCTCCCCCGATGGCGTGTCAATGTCACCCCAGCATGGACACACCCCATAGTGATAGGCCGGCATGCCTTCGGGGATCAATACCGAGCCACAGAGATGGCCATTCCTGGCCCTGGCAAGCTCAAGCTAGTCTATGGTGCGTGCAGATTCCATAGTACAGTATGTATGGAACTATATGTATATGCAGGGACGCACGCCATTGTGATTGGCCGGCATGCCTGGGTTCAATCCCAGTGTGCTTTGGTGCAATCCCAAGGTTCTGTTATGCAATCCCAAGGCTCTGTTATGCAATCCCAAGGTGCTTTTATGCAATCCCAAGGCTCTGTATTGCAATCCCAAGGCTCTGTATTGCAATCCCAAGGTGCTGTTATGCAATCCCAAGGTGCTGTTATGCAATCCCAAGGTGCTGTTATGCAATCCCAAGGTTCTATAATGCAATCCCAAGGTGCTGTTATGCAATCCCAAGGTGCTGTTATGCAATCCCAAGGCTCTGCGTGAAAATCTGAAGCAATGGAATGCACTTGGGCAATTGGATCGTGCTGTCATAGATTTAGAGTTGTTTGGATTCCTATTTCGCTTTTTGTTCCCAGTCGAAGTCCGTTGGACGTTTATCAGTTCAAAGCCGCCCCCCCCCACACAAGCAGCATTACTGCGGCCCCTCTTTCATGCCGCCCGTCCCCCTCGCCCACCAGAAACCCCCCAAGGGTGGCACCAGTCAAGTCTTGGACGTGTATGAGTTTAATTCACCCCACTCTGCTGCTGCCGCTGGTGGCGGTGTGGCTCTTGCCATGTACAACACAGATGAGGTGGGTTGGGGAGGGAATTTAGACATGGTACCAGCTTCAACCCCACTTAACCCCGTTGACTGCTGTCAAGTGCCTTGACTCGCACTGACTGCCATTGGACCCCGTTGACTACGTTGACTGCAGTACATCAGGGCATTCTCTGAGTCACCATGGCCATGGGCGTATCAGAAGCGTGGCCGACTGACTTCTGTTGACTCTATACTGACCCCCATTGACTCCTGTTGACTGCGGATGTATGAATAGTATAGTGTATTTCATCCTCCAAAAAAAAAAAAAAAAAAAAAGAGAAGTGAAATCCATCAGAGCGTTTGCAGTGACATCCATGGCCATTTCCCACCAGAACCGATGGCCCATTGACTTCTGTTGACTCAGTACTAACTCTCGTTGAACCCGTGCTGACTGCGTTGACTGCAGTCCATCCGAGCATTCGCTGAGTCATCCATGGCCATGGCGTATCAGAAACGGTGGCCGCTGTATCTCAGCACCAAGAACACCATCCTCAAGACCTACGATGGCAGGTGTGTGTGTGTGTGTGTGTGTGTGTGTGTGTGTGTGTGTGTGTGTGTGTGTGTGTGCGTGTGTGTGTGTGTGCGTGTGCGTGTGTGTGCGTGTGTGTGTGTGAGCGTGAGCGTGCGCGTGTCTGTGTGTGTGCGTGCGCGCACGCTCGCGTGTGTTTGTGGGTCGGTGGGTGTTTGTGTGCGCGCTCGGATCCGTTGAAAAGTCTCAAAGCGACATGGTGGCCTTCTCTGCTCTCAAGCCTTGTTTGCTTCTTATCGCAACTCCCGCATGCCCGCATGCGCACATGCACACACATGCGTGAAGGTTCAAGGACATTTTCCAAGAGCCTTCATGCATTTGAGGGTATACGAAGGGAAGTGGAGGTGGAGGGGGCAGTTTGCCACCTCAAGAGCCCAGGGGTGCTCTCAGTTCAGACACCATTGCTGCTTCCTTCCTTCCTTCCACAGTGTGTACGAGAGCAAGTGGAGGGAGTGGTTCGAGGCAGCAGGGGTGTGGTATGAGCACCGGCTGATTGACGATATGGTGGCCGGTGCTCATACCACACCCCTGCCAGGGATTAACTATTTCCATACCACACCCCTGCCAGGGATTAACTATTTCCATACCACACCCATGCTGCCTTGAAGCAGCGTGGCTGATTGACGATATGGTGGGCTCTCAACAGTCTGGGGTGCGCTCCTGTTTGCGAGCCACGTGTGCGTCTTATTGCCATTGGCTTGCCTTGGTCATTCACGCGTTTCGGATTTCGCCCTCCCTGCATGCACGCGGACACATCCTCTCTACACGCAGGTTCAAGGACATATGTGTCAAGATGTGTACGAAAGCAAGTGGAAGGGGAGGTTTGAAGCTGCAGGGGTGTGGTATGAGCACCGGCTGATCGACGATATGGTGGCCTTCTGTCTCAAGAGCCTGGGGTCACGCTCTTTCACAAGCGAATGTGTCTATGAAGGTTCTGGGACGTTTGCTTGTTGTTAATGGCTTGTTCCCCTGCTTGCATCCCTGCATGCTCCCCTCCCTGCATACACCACGTGCAGGTTCAAGGACATTTTCCAGCAGGTGTATGAAGACAAGTGGCAGAAGCGGTTTGAGGAGGCGGGGGTGTGGTATGAGCACCGGCTGATCGACGATATGGTGGCCTTCTGTCTTAAGAGCCCGGGGGCGTTCGTGTGGGCGTGCAAGAACTATGATGGGGACGTGCAAAGCGACATGCTGGCTCAGGGTATGTGGGTGGAACTATGTATGTGGATATGTGTGTAGGGAGAGCAGGGAGGGTAGAGCTATGTGGAATTTCGTCTGGTTGGGCGTTCGTGTGGGCGTGCAAGAACTATGATGGGGATATGCAGAGCGACATGCTTGCTCAAGGTATGTGGGGTTGGGAGAGCAGGGAGGGAGGATAGGATAGAGCTGTGTGGCATTGGGTATGTATTCGTGTGGGCGTGCAAGGACTATGATGGGGATGTGCAGAGCGACATGCTGGCTCAATCATCAAGGTATGTGGCATAGGATGGAACTATGTGCTTTGCGTTCGTGTGGGCGCGCAAGAACTATGATGGGGATGTGCAGAACGACATGCTGGCTCAGGGTATGTGGGGAGGGAGAGCAGGGAGGGAGGATATTGCTATGTGCCATCAGGTGGGTGTTCGTGTGGGCGTGCAAGAACTATGATGGGGATGTGCAGAGTGACATGCTGCCACAAGGTGGGATGGTGGATGCATGGGAGAGGCACGGGAGCTTTGCACGGGAGGCACGGCATGGGAAAGGCCGGGTGAGGAATGAAGGGGTGGGTGGCTGCATAGGGCCACGCACTTACAGGGCGTGTAAGAACTGTGGTGGTGACGGGCAGATCGACATGCTGGCACAGGGTGGGTTGTGCAGAGAGACGGGGAGTGGGGTGGGAGTGCGGAGTGGGGTAGGCGTATGTGCGGTGGGAGTGGAGTTCTGTAGAAGTACCTGTGGTGAGGAGAGTGCGGAGCAATGTGGGATGTGAGGAACATCACACGTCCTCAGTCAGTGTGATGTGAGCCGTAATGAGGTCAATTTCGTTTCTGTCTTTTCGTGTCTTGTGAGCCATGTTCTTGCCTTCATCGTTGCATCTTTCCAGTACAACCTTCTATTCCATCAAGGATTTCTGTTTTTTTTGGCATACACATGGTGGTTTGTTTCCGTTTCCTCTTGCAGGGTTTGGCTCCCTTGGGCTCATGAAGAGCATTCTGGTGAGTGCCTCCTTGTGTGTACCCTTGGTAGCCTGTCCAGTCCTCATGTGTGCAGAGATCGTTTTGAGGGAGGTAGGAGCAAAGAGATGGACGGTAGTCAATCGTGCATTCGCATCATCCACGCATCACTCTACCACGTGCATCAGAGGGGAGTTATGCAGGGTGATTCAACCAGAAATGTCACATTCCTTTTGAATCAAATTCCCGTTTCCCAGGTGTGTCCGGATGGGAAGACAGTAGAAGCGGAGGCAGCACACGGCACAGTGACGCGGCACTACCGTGTGCATCAGAGGGGCGGGGAGACCAGCACCAACAGCATCGCCTCCATCTTTGCCTGGTCCAAGGGGCTTGCTCACCGGTGCGTGGGGTTGGGTCGCGGTCTGCAGGAGGACAGTTGGGTTTCAGGATGGGCGATAGAAAGCCTGGCGCACTGAACCACCAGAGGGGCGGGGAGACGAGCACCAACAGCATCGCCTCCATCATTGCCTGGTCCAAGGGGCTCGCCCACCGGTGGTTGAGAGCATGTGGGTGAGGGTGGGCCATAAGAAGCTCGGCGTGCTGGACTGCAGGAAAGCAGACGAATCCGTAGCAGCACCAACAGCATCGCCCCCATGTGCGCCTGGTGTAAGCGACTTGCCCTCTGCTGGGTGGGGGCAGGTGGTTTGGTAGCAGGTGGGTTGTGGGGGGTAAGGGGGGAGCAACCACTCTGTTGTGTTTGGGGGTGACACTGAGCAGTGTGGGTACCGAAAGTAATCACTCTCTGTTCTCCTCTTCCCTCCCCCCTCACCCCACCATTCCCTGCTTCTCCAGCGCCTCTTTAGACGGCAACAGCAGGCTCGCAGCGTTCTGCAGCCACCTGGAGGCGGCGTGTGTTGAAACAATTCCCACTCCCTGCCCCATTCTTCCCTTCATCTTGCCCTCCCCTCTCCCCTTTCCCCCCTTCCCCATGCCCCCCTCTTCCAGCGCCTCTTTAGACAGCAACAGCAGGCTCGCAGCGTTCTCCAACCACCTGGAGGCAGCGTGCACTGAAGCGGTGGAGAGCGGTGGAATGACCCGTGACCTGGCCCTGCTGGTGCATGGAAGCAAGTGCGTTGAGTTGTCCCTCCACAAGTTTCTCGCCAGCACTTATTAGGCATTGCACCTTTCCATGGTAGACCCATGTTCCCATCACGACGGAATCTCACGACGGGCGGGTATTTGCCCACTCCCTCCGCTTCTCCACCGTCCACTGGTTTTCATTTGCTTTCCCCCCTTCCCCTCCGCCCCTCAAGTGTCTCCCCTCCTCTATCCCCACCCTCATTTTCCCTTCACTCCCGCCTTACAATGCAGGGTGTCGCGTGCAGACTATCTCAACACAGAGGAGTTTATAGACGCAGTTGCTGCCTGCCTTAGACAACGCCTGCTGAGTGGAGGGGAGGGCTGTGATAGGCGTAGTAGGATGTAGGTTAGCTGTAACATAATTGCATATGAGAATAGTGCAATACATGATGCAGGTGGCCATCTAATTTCTTTTGATGTACAGTGCAAGAAAAGGGCTTGCATGGTCGTTCTATAAGTTTCCAATCATTGTTAATCGATCGACCAAAACAGTGTTCAATTCTCACACTACCCAAGTATAATTACACTGTGAATTTAGTACAGTAAGGACACACGGATGTATAGGACTTTCTGTAAGGCGTACATCAGAGATACCTCACAGGCTCACATCGCATCCCCTCACTGACCTCACACACGCTCAAGCAGTCGCGTCATTCATCCTTTTCAATACCCTGCCCAAGTTCCCTAATGCTAGAGCCGAGCCGCTTAGGCGATACAGCAGACATGTGCGATGATCCAGTGGGAAGAGTGAAATGGACGGGAGGGACGGATTTGAGGTGCCATCTTGCCTTTCTGCGTGCTACAAGCCACCCACTTTCGAATCAGCACAGCCAATCACGGATTAGCAGCTCGATGACGTCCCCCCCTCGCTCCGAAGAGCCACCAGAGGCATACGTCGCTATTCCAGAGTCCGGGCGTCTCTCCCACCGCTGCTGCGTCAGCTCCACGCTAGCACAGATTCGGAACGCCCTTTCGGCGAACCTTGAAGCTGTCGTCATCCGTGTCTGCGATACAGCCTCATGGGATTGCGAAGGCGACTTGGTCGCAGCGCCTCAGAATCTTATCCAGAATCCGGGATCGCGAAATGTTCCTCACTCTATTTCGCGTTTGGGCTGGTTCGTTCTCAGTGCAAACGAAATTAATTTCACTCGCGCATGCAGAGTGACGCGTCGAGCATCCTGGTAGTATAAAGGGCGCTTATAACACTGATATAATTCATCCACTACTAGTGCCACTGCTTACAGCCTGAAGCTTATTCCCGCATCAAGCAGAGCAACTCAAGTGCTCCTGCTTCTGCTCCCACACACGTCGACCGTTGCATCCTCATCGTCATCCTCATCCTCATCCTCATCCTCATCCTCATCCTCGCTCGCCGTCTCTCCCCTCGCGGCGAAATGGCTCTTGTGCCTCGCTCCCTGACTCTCATCGCGGCGGTTGTCCTCGCGGCTGCCGCTCTCCTCGCCGCTCTTCCTGCCGCGAGCGCCGCTGGGGTGAATTACAGCAAAAGCGGGCTCAACTGGGAGGTGCGTGAGTCGCCGCCTAGGGGCGTGTGAGTGGGGAGGGAGGGAAGGGGGGAAAAGTGAGGAGGGTTAAAACGTGGGAAGATGGATTGAGGTCGTGGCTGTACATGAGGCGATTTTTGAGTCGACTCAAAAATCGCCTCATCACACACGAGGTCGTGGCTGTACATGCTCAACGTGCGATTTCAAAAAGCACAATCCTCGCGTTATGCGAGTCGGGCGAGCGGCAGTCGCCAATCAACATGGACGAGGCAACGACCAACCCCCTCTCTCTCTCCCCTTGCTCACCCCCTCTCTCTCACTCCCCTTTCTCCCTCCACATTACCCGCCAGGGCGTGTGCGAGTCGGGCGAGCGGCAGTCGCCAATCAACATTGTGATGGACGAGGCAAAGAACCATCCCCTCCTTCCCTCACTCCCATTGCGCACTCCCTTTTCCACTCACCCCTTGCCAGGGCACTTGCGAGTCGGGCGAGCGGCAGTCGCCAATCAACATTGTGATGGACGAGGCAACCACGGTGGATGCACCAGAGATATTCTCTCTGGAGTATGACTCCTCGCCCACCACTGCCACCGTCGTCAACAAGGGCTACACCGTCCGTGAGTGTTCCCTCCTCTCTCCAATCCTCCTCCATTTGTGCGTTTGTCTGTTCATTGTACGTCAAGTCATTCAGTCATACCCTACTCATGCTAGTCGGTCCTTCCCCCAGAGGTGGTTCATAACCCCGCCCGTACCTTAAAGTCCGCACATCGCAAGCGGAAAGTACAAGCTGAAGCAGGTGCACGTGCATGCCTTCTCAGAGCATGCCATCAACGGGCTCTTTCCTCCCCCGCCCTCCCCTTTCTCCTGCCCCCTTTCCTTTCTTTTCAGAGGTGGTTCCGAATCCGTCCAACACCTACAAGCTGCATATTGCCAGCGGAACCTACGAGCTGAAGCAGGTGCACGTGCACGCCTTCTCAGAGCATGCCATCAACGGGCTCTTTGCTCCCATGGAGGCGCACCTCGTGCATGCCCATGTCGACGATCCCTCCCGGCTGGTCGTCGTGGGAGTCATGATCCGCCTGCAGCGCGACGACCACGCCAGCAACTGGGTCGACTCGTGAGTTTTCCTTCCGATCTCTGTAGTTTTCCTTGATTTAATTTCCTCCAATTTTGTCATTTTATTTGACCCCCTTTTCTTCACCATGCATCACCCTAGTCCTGTACCTTCATTCCTTCCAGCTGGTTGGACAGGTGAATGGGACAGCCACCAATGACATCCCCAGGAACTTCTGGAGGCAGATGGTGGATGTGTCCATGGGCTTCTGGCGCTACCCCAGCTCGCTCACCCCATTCCATTCTCCCACACGGCTGTTTCTCCACCTTTACTGCCCCCCCCAGGTGGTTGGCCCAGAACCCTGCACCGGTGAACGGGACAGCGACTGTCCCCAGGAACTTCTGGAGGGAGATGGTGGATGTGTCCATGGGGTTCTGGCGCTACCCCGGCTCGCTCACCCCCCATTCCATTCTCTCACACGCCCAGGTGGTTGGCCCGGACCCCCTCAGAGGTGAACGGGACGGCGACCATTGACGTCCCCAAGAACTTCTGGAGGGAGATGGTGGATGTGTCCATGGGGTTCTGGCGCTACCCCGGCTCGCTAACCACGCCAGGCTGCGATGAGATTGTCGAGTGGCACGTGCTGCGCAAGGCCCAGTTTCTCTCCGTTGCCCAGGTGAGAGGTGCACTTGCCAGCGGCATGCTCACGTGGATTCGGAGGTTTGTAGCATCCATTTTGTAGCGCCTCCAAGATGAGTTGGTCGCGCGGCGCACAAACTCATCCTGAAAGTTATTGCTTCATCCCTGCTGTCCATGTCCGCCCTTACCCTTGTAACTCCCCCCGCTCTCTTCCTCTGAGACTGCAACATTCATGAATCTGATGGCCAGCACGAACAAGGAGCGCACCAACAACCGCATGCCCGAGCCGCTCAATGGCAGGGAGGTCACTTACTTCACTAAAATCGCAGCCTGATTACGGCCAAGCATGGTCCTGATTGATGGGCATGGTTACAAAGATAGGACATGGTCAGGTCCTGGAACCAATATATGCTTTTTGTTGCAATGAATTCACACTTTCAGCTTTCTTGATATGAAATACCTTTTGCAGAGCTTTGATTATTTAGGTAACAGCAGAGTCTTGATTTCATTCATACAGAACACTGGCTTTTGATAATGTGATCTACAGAAAATGGACAATCGCTTCATATTTTACATAGCATCCAACTTGCCTTGACTCTTCTCGTTGAAGCATGTTCGGCTCCTTGCGCCAATCCGAATTCGGCATGGTCAGCAGTGGGCCGACCTCAAACCTCGGAATGGTTGCGATCGTGTGAGGATCTGCGCGCACCGACAGGCACCGCGGCAACATTGCGCTTCGGCTCCGAGTCGCGGCCCACATAAGCATCACCGCCCTCCATTCAGCACCGCGTACGGTCAACCGCATCTGCTGTCCCCCACCCCTCTCTGCGACATTTCAGGTTTTCCAGCGACAGTGAACGACGACATCACTCCCTTGGCGAAAAACGTGGTGCGCCATGACCAGGAGGGCGAGGCCGTGCGACACATCAAATGCTGTCGCTGCTTGCGCCTCTGCTCCTTGCTTTGGCTCGTGGGGGAAATCGCCCACCCTTTTAGGCGCGATTTCCAGCACCATCCTTTACACCCCCAGGGGAAACAGGTCACGACTCGTGCAGTGCTAGTTTGTGTGCTCGCACAAAAGCCACAGGAAGTCACTATTCTCGTCTGTCACTCAGCTTACGCCATACACCAAGGCTACTTCCCTCGCACTAGAGATTCAGAACCATTTACGGCTGCTTGTGCATAGAGGTAGCGTCAAACACAGCATAGGTTCACATGGATCGCAGACCACTTTTAGCCGTTCTATTACTTGCGCTGACATCCAGCGTACACGGATGGAACTACGTCAAGAGCGGCGCGGACTGGACGGTACGTCTCTCTTACCTTAGCTTTTGTGTCGAATCATCCTATCTTTTTCCACGTTTCCGAGTGACTCTTCCGTTCTAAGAACACCGACTCCGGTCTCAATACATGCTTGCGCGGGGTGCGTCGGTGTTGACAAAGGGCCAAATGCATGGGCTTCTTCAGCTTGATAAAGAAACAAATATCCAGCGAGACCGTAGGCACCGGTGGAAATGATCCCATCCGTCTTCCACAATTCACCCTTTCCTTATTTTTTTTTCCCTTTTCCCTCCACGCGGCTCTTCTCGTCAACAGGGTGCGTGTCAAACGTCGCGCGCGCAATCGCCGATTAACATCGAGCCGTCGATGGCGATAAAGGGCAAGGACAATCGCTTCCTCAACATCAGCTACGCCCTCAGCAAATCGCTCACCGTCTCTAACTTCGGCTTCACTGGAGGTACGCATCCCACACATACAGTCACACAACTCTTGATTTCGAAGGCGGAAAAAAAAAAAACTCAGTTGTGTCTGATTTGCTTCTCTGTCAACTCGTTTCTGTCTAACCGACGTCGGCACCGAATTTTCTTGTCTTCTGTCTGTTGTGTTCGCCAGGGGTGCAACCGCAAGCCGGCACGGAGAATTTCATGTACACGTCGACGGGCAAGTTCCGTTTGCTTGGCATTCTTCTGCGCGCCACGTCGGAGCACACCATCCTCGGCGCGCCCGCGCCGCTCGAGGCGCACTTTGTGCACGAAAATGTCGACAACCCCGCAAAGGGCGCAATCATCTCTGTGATGATCGTGATTCAAAAGAACAACGTCCGAAACCCGTGGCTCGACAAGTGAGTATCTCTGAGAACGCAACGCGACTTTCTGCGCATCTAGACACGTCCGTCGCCGTCCCTGCGACGACTAAACTCAAGAAAAGCCAACTAGCCTTAGAGAAAGCCTTCTCATCCATTTTTGCTCGTTTCCGCGCCTCCTGCTACTCCTTTCTCTCCTTTCTACTTCCCTAACCTTCCCTGTCCTCCCCCCCCCCCCCCCTTCCCCCTCGTTCCTTCCCCGCCTGATTCTCCGCGCAGGTGGCTGCCGTATGTGCCCAAGGCGGTGAACACCTCAGTGGCGGTGCCGGCGACGACCAACTTCAAGGAGGCGCTGAACGTCAAGTACGGCTTCTGGTACTACCGCGGCTCCACCACTTACCCGCCCTGCGCGCCCAACATCGAGTGGTTCATCCTCAAGCGCGGCCTCTACGGCTCCGTCGAGCAGGTGAGCCCAGGCGAATCTGATCAGTTATCACGTCGCTTTTCCACTTTTTCAGGGTCGTACATCAGAATAACGTTGGTTTGAGGCTGTCGAATTTCGCCCCGATCTACCTTCCTTAGAAACCCGTGGAATAACCCTGTTTGTAAAAACTGTTTTGTTCGTCTGTCTCTTCCCCACGCAGATCGAGGGCTACATGAACCTGCTCGCTGCATCCAGTGGTCAGCGTACCAACAACCGTCTTCCCAGGCCAATCAACGGTCGTAGGGTCATCTCATACGCCAAGCTGCACAAGCCGAAACGGGTGTAGGGTTCTAGACATCGCGTTTAGAAGGACCTGGATGCGTAAATTAGACGCCCTGTTCCCCAACCAAATAAAATGCTCGAAATTTCCTATGTAGGTTTCCCTATTTTAGCTGCACGAATTGCACTAATCTAGAAAGAAAGTACTACAATCTTTTGAAAGGATGTACGCATTTGTGTACTGGATTGAATGCTGACTGCTCGTATGTAAACCCCGAGGCCTCGAGTTTGGGTTGTGCATGGCTCGATCGAGCCGCCTGCATAATGTTGAGAGCCTGGTGGGGTGAATGCTGTTTGTGAGCTCGAGCCAGCATGCCTCACTTTCTGCTGACTCGTGCGTCGTACTGAATAATTTTCCAACCCCATCGAGTTGTCTTCTGATATTCAGAACGAGCTTGAATCTCCTCACCGCTCTCCGACCACAGAATCGAGCTAGTAAGCTTAGCAGTTCTCTCCCTGCTTGACTTCGATTCGATACAACAGCAACATGCAAGAGCTGCACGCTCAGGGGCCGAGGCCCGCGGACAAGGCAGACCAGAAAGATCGCCGCGAGTCCAAATCACCACCATCGGAGTCGACGCTGGCGCGAGATGAAGCGGCTCTGAGGAGCAGCAAAGCTCCCACCCCTCCCGCAGGTACCCTTCCACGCGCCACGCGGCACCTGTGGGTGCTTCTTCTGCTCCTAAAAAGGAGAAACCTGCCGCTGCAAAGCCAGGCAGCAAGAGCTTGGCCGAGCTTGTTAGGGATACGGATATGGAGCCTGATGAGGAGGTTGCTAGGTATGGCGAAATGAAGGTTTCTGTTGAGGCTATGGCAAAAAATCGCGCTCCTGAGAAGGGAGATGCTGAGGGTGGGAAGGAGCTGAAAGGCAGCAGCAGCGGTGCTTTCCTTGGGAGGGAGGGTCACGCCATTCCAGATGAGGTACACTGAAGTGAAGAAATTGTTTGCAGTGTTTTATAAGGGGGTAGGCACTAAGTGATCTTACCTCTTGGACTCTTTGCAGGAGGTGAAACACCAGAAGCCCCAGCAGCAAGCATGAGTATTGATAGGCCGAGCAGCCATCCTTTACCTTCATAATTCTGCCTGTATTGAGTACTGAAAGAGGGCTACAATAAAGCCCCGCATGAGTGCTGGAGTGGGCTTTTAGAGGGTTGAACTGGTGCATGCTTGTTCTCTTTGTACATACTGTACTATCTTTTGAAGGAATTGCTGGTATAAAACAAAGATTGATTAGCATTTGCAGTCATTATCCATCACGACATGGAGATCGTATTCTATATCATCACGCTAGTTATCAGGCACCACACCACACCATTCCAAAAGTCTTTGTAGAATCACGTTTTGCAAATACAAGTTTTTATAGCTTTGTGTTACGCCTCTAGTACGGTATAGATGGATCACGCAATGACACAAAAGTGTAGCTATTGCATGCCAGTCAGGAATTCGTCCTCCTGACGTGTCAATGGCAAATTTAGTCCACTTGGAGGGCAGGGAGGAGGTGGTGGGGCGTTCCTCGCGTCAGCACGGTGCTGGCCTGGTATGGCAGAGCAAGCCAATGTCGCGCTTCGATTTGAATCGCTTCGCATATTCGTTCGAGTCGCACCCAATGCAATTTCCTGTTTGCATGTGAATGCAATTTCACCAGCAGCACAAACTCCCACCCACCCACCACAAATACCACAAACCCACACACTAGAGCTCGCACATTTCGAAGACTCATTTTTGCCCGAAATCCAAACCGCAAGAGTCGAGAGAAACGCGCATCTGCATCTGCTGAATTCACGCACCACGCGATCATGGACACGGTCAAGGGGATCTTTGGCGGAGAGAAGAATCGGGAGGAGCCTCGCGAGGGCGAGTACGGATACGACTCTCGCGGAACAGCTGCAGGCGGCGAGCCAGAATATGGAGGCCACGGCCAGCAGCGTCGCCACGGGCACGAGTACGCGCGGGAAACGCCCGGCTACGGCGCCGGTTCTACCGAACGCTCGGGATATTCCGGTGTGGCGGGTCGCGAGAGAGGCACGGAGTATGGCGGCACGGGCCCGACTGGTTACGGTGAAACTGCCAGCGCTGGCTATGGAACCTTCTCCAGTGGTGAAGGTCAAACCGGCGGTCACGGACATCACCATGGAACTCGCGAAGAGACCACTGGCTATGGCGGAACACCGGGTTACGGCGGGACGACTGGGGGAGGTACAACTGGGTATGGCGGCACGGCTGGAGGAGGCACAGCTGGATATGGCGGCACGGCTGGGGGAGGTACAACTGGATACGGTGGCACCACTGGAGAACGTGGGTACGGGGAACGCGAGCACGGGGAGCGCGGATACGGGGGACATGGGGAACGCACTGGAGGTCGTGGCTATGGCGAAGAGCGCGAGACGGAGGAAGAGGTATTTGTTCCTCCATTTATTCATTCATTCTTTCTTGTTGTATCTTTCATAACCAAATCCTTTTGTTCTAGTCCGTCCAGCTTTTTTAAAGTGTTCCGTTCTGGACCTTTTCTTTCTTACCTGACACGCTATTTCGTTTCTCGGTTCTGCGTGAGCAACAACAGAAGATGCGCAAGGAATATGAGGGGCACAAAAGCGGAGAGCGCATCGGGGAGGCGATTGCAGCTGGTGCTGCAGCGTATGCGGGCCACGAACGCCACGAGAGGAAGGACGACGAGAAGGATATCAAGGAGAGGCAGAGGGAGGTCGAGGGCGGCCACAAGAAGCACGGCTGGTTTGGCTAGGAGCTTTTGGTGTTGCCCTGGATGTCCTTCTGCTCTGAAGGTAGTAGGGCTGTGTTAGTGAATGTCAGCTGACGCACATTGTACAGTTGATCTTGCTATGCATTCTTTCTATGTTGTTTTGCTCCTTCCATGCTGTTGTTCCATGCTAACTGACCTCAGAATAAAAACTGTCAGTTTCCATAGACAATATCCAGTTGCCAACTACTGTATGGACTTTATTTGCAAACCTCCCAACCCTTTACCAGCAAACATATTAAGTCCAAATTACTATAACCACTTCACCAGCAACCAGGTTACCAGCTACTCCCGTCAAACTCAGACCAAGCAGAAAGTGTAGACTTTGCCTCAACTATCCCCAAAACCTTTCTACTCTACCCAAACACAATCTGATCTTCTCAACATATCCTTCTGGAAACTATTGCACCATCAACACCTTGGGATCATTCATTCAACGTCCTCTCTTCACACTCTGCTCATCACCACCACCACCTCCAACCCCACTACTCACTCACGCACGAACTGCCACCAGCTACCCCTCAGTCCATGCCCAGCACCTTTAGCCCCCTCCCCTTGTTCGTCAACCGGTCCTTCAACTCACCCTGACTCATCTTCCCAACAACACCACCCCATACTCCCCACACACTCTCACTCGCGAACAAACTTCACAAACAAATCTACCAGCTGCCCCTTGGTCGGCGTCCTCATTTCCAGCACATCCAGCCCCCTCCCCTCATCCGTCAACCGATCCTTCAACTCACTCTTCGTCATCTTCATTGCAATCTCCCTCCGCCTCTTCGCCACGTCAGACTCCCCCGCCACGTCAGCAGCCGTCACGGCCCCCACCCCAGCCGCCGGCCTCCCTCTCCCCCTCCTCCCTCCACCACCCCTCCTTGGCCTCCCTCTTCCCCTCCCCCCCTTGCTACTCTCAGCCTCGTCCCCTTCAGTGTGTCCCTTCACCCCTCCAGCACCAAACACCCCTCCGAACGAGGCTGAATCCATGTCCATTTCGCTGCCCTGCCCGGTTGCCTGCGCTGACTCAAATCCTGTGTTGCCTGACGCTGTGGGAGTTGGCGCGCCCCTTGCTCCTGCTTCCCCGTCTGCTGCTGAGTCTGTTGGCACTGCTGCCCCAGATGCGCCAGCGGCAGCAGCTACAGCAGCAGTTGCTCTCTTGCCTGCGCCCCTGCCTCTCCGCTTGCCCACTTCTCCCCCTGCTGCCGCTCCCGCTGTGCCTGCAGCATCGCCTGTCACAGCACTATCACCCGCCCCTTCCAACCCCGCCCCTGCAACACCCCCGGCAGTACCACCTACACCAGTTAACCCTGCCTCACCTGCACCTCCCTCTCCACCAGTCCCACCTTCCCCAGCAGCAACACCCTCCCCTGCAATACCACCTTCCCCAGCAGCACCCGTCCCCAGTCTTGCCCTCTTCCTCTTCCTCCCCGCCTCCTCTCCCTCCTCCAACTCCATCTCCTCCCCCCCCTCTCCCTGCCCATCACCCCCTCTCCCCTCCCCTCTCCCCCTCTCCCTCTCCCTCTCCTGATTCCCCCTCATAGCCACCTCCAGCATCCCTCTTAACCGCAAAACCTCCTCCTCTCTCACTCTCACCACCCCCTTCATCTCCTCCTTCTCGCTCCTCACCACCCCCATCTCCACCCCCATTCCCTCCACCACCTGTCTCAACCTCTCTAACTCCCCATCCAACCGCACCATCTCACTCCTAGCTTCTCCCTCCTTTCTCCTCCACCCCTCCCTCTCCACCTCACACACAGCCAGCATCGCCATTGTTTCTCCAACCTCCTCCTTCCTCCTTCCCACTTCTCCTCTCAAATCCTCGATCTCCCTCACCATACCTTCCACCTTCCCCTTCCCCTCCTCCTCCCGTTCCGCTGCCCTCAATCTCAACCCCTCTAAGTCCCTCTCAACCTCTCTAGCTCTCCTTTCCGCAGCTTCCGCCCTCTTTCCTGCCACCTCAGCTGCTGACTGTGCCACCTGGGCCTCCTCCATTGCCATCTGGAGATCTTTCGCTGCTGAGTCAGCGCGAATGCCAGCCTGGCGTGCCAGCTCAGCCTCACGCCGGGCTGCCAGCTCAGCAGCAGTGCGTGCTGACTCAGCCTGACGCAGCTGGCGCTCCATCTGCTCTGTCGCTGCCTCCGCTGCAGCCTTCGCCTCCCGTGCAGCCTGGGAGAAAAGAGGGAAGGAGAGCGGGCGGGGACAATAGGTCGAAACTCGGGCTATAGAGACAAGCCATACTGCTGTCACCAGCCGAACCGTAGGCTTGCACCAGATAGGCACATAACGTCTATGTAAATCCGTAACAAGGGCACGAATCCCAAACAAGGGCACGAATCCCAAACAAGGGCACGAATCCCAAACAAGGGCACGAATCCCAAAGAAGGGCACGAATCCCAAACAAGGGCACGAATCCCAAACAAGGGCACGAATCCCAAACAAGGGCACGAATCCCAAACAAGGGCACGAATCCCAAACAAGGGCACGAATCCCAAACAAGGGCACGAATCCCAAACAAGGGCACGAATCCCAAACAAGGGCACGAATCCCAAACAATATCCATACCTGCATGCTCTTTCTCGCACTGCCAGCCATCCTGCTCGCCTCCCTCATACTCTTCTCTCCTAGACATCCGTGTGCCGACTCTTCCTAAGGACCTAAGCAATACGAGCCAACATGTAAGTGGGTCCTAGTCGCACCTGCACGCTCTTGCTTGCACTGCCAGCCGTCCTGCTCGCCTCCCTCATACTCTCCTCAGCTTGCCTCTCCCTCGCCTTCGTTTCCACCAGTGCCTTTTCTGTTGCTGCCAGCCTTGCTGCCTGCGACTGCACGAGGAGAGAGGTGAGAAAGAGTGGGGGAGGAATGGGTTGTGAGGGAACAGGGGGGAGGCAGGAAAGGATTAGCTTGCCTCTCCCTCGCCTTCGCTTCCACCAGTGCCTTCTCTGTGGCTGCCAGCCGTGCTGCCTGCGACTGAAAGGGGAAAAAGGGGGGGGAAGAGAGGGTGGCATCTAGTGGGTGGACAAGTCCCACAGGTCCCTCAACGTGGCACATGTCACTCTTCACATCGCCTCACTTCCAGCTTAACCTCCTTCCAGCTCAATCTCCTTCCATGACACCCCCTTTGTCCGCGCCCAACACCCCCCCCGCTCTAACTCCAACTCACCTCCAGCTTCAGCTTCAGCTCGCTCGCCTCTGCTCGCAACTGCTGCTCCAACACACTCTGCCAGCACTGCTGCACCCCCCTGTATCTCATTCCCCAACACCGCTCTTGTCCGACATCAACCCCTACCCTCTAACTCCGACTTTTGAGTCGACTCAAAAATACCCTCTAACTCCGACTCACCTCCAGCTTCACTATCACCTCGCTCGCCTCTGCTGCTGCTTTAGACACCTCTGCTCGCAACTGCTTCTCCAACTGCTAGCACTGCTGCACCCCTCTCTACCCCAATCAACCCCTCTCCTCCCACTCACACCGACTCACCTCCAGCTTGATCTTCAGCTCGCTCGCCTCTGCTGCTGCTTTAGACGCCTCTGCTCGCAACTGCTTCTCCAACTCGACCTGCCAGAGGACAATGCGTTGGGGCATAACAGAGAAGGCGTTCAAATGGTAAAAGGTTGTTGTTCAAACCAGTGCAGCATAACAGGGAAGGTGTTCAAATCGGTGGGGCAGGGTCAGGGAGAGGAGGGGGGAGGGAGGTTCATGACAGGATAGCAGACAAGACACATTCGCAGCTGAATTGAAATCACCAAACGCCCATTCCCATCCCACCCCACCCCATCCCATCCCATCCCATCCCATCCCGTCCCATCCCATCCCATCCCATCCCATCCCATCCCACCCCAGCCCATCCCATCCCATCCCATCCCATCCCATCCCATCCCATCCCATCCCATCCCATCCCATCCCATCCCATCCCATCCCATCCCATCCCATCCCCACCCCATCCCAGCATCGCACCTTCTCCTTCTGAATCGCAGCCACTTCCGCCTGCCTCCTCTGCCTCTCCCTCTCCACCTCCCCTCTCAGCCCATCCCTCTCTCCAACCACCTTCTCCACCTCCCTCTTCCCCTCCCCTACCTCCTTCTCATACATTCCCCTCCACTTCACCTTCTCCCCTTGCTCCTCCCCCACCCTCCTCTTCGCCTCCTCAAGCTGCCCCTTGACCCTCTCAGCCTCCCCACTCACTCTCCTCACCTCCTTCTCCCCGCCCTCCCTCACTCTCTCCAATTCCTTTCTCAACTCAACACACTCCCTCTCTCGCTCATCCGCCCTCCTCCTCCCCTCCTCCATCTCCTTCCTCATCCTCTCCCTCTCCTCCCTCCCTTCGCCAATCAGCCTATTAGCGTCTGCCAGCTGTCCTTCCACGGAAGCCACCCGTTTCTTCCAGTCCTCAGCTGCGGCGGCCTCCCGAGCCGCGGCCGCAGCTTCGGCGAGCGCCCGAGCCTCGGCGGCCTGCTTGTCTTTGAGTGCGGACGAGGCTTGCTGCTTTGCTTCGGCAACCTCCTTTTCAGCTGAGTCCAGCACAAGACCGCGCATGCTGCAAGGAGGGAACGGGGGGTGCCAGTCAGAACGAGTTTAAAGGCGCTTCATAACGTTTTTCCGCTGAGTCCGACATAACGGCATGCCATGCATGCTGTGTGCAAGAGGATAAAGGGGGTAACAGCAACGACTTTACAGATGGAGGGTACGAGAAGAGCGAGACAACAGCGGTCGAAGAAGAAGCGTCATTAGATTCCCTAGGCTGCAGCCTTCACAAGCTTCCCCAGATTTCTCCTTACAAGCCTCTCCTGGTTTTCTTAGAAAACCCCTCCCCACATCACCCCATAAGAACGACCCCACACTCACTACATTTCACACCACCCACCCCTACAAACCCTTCCCTACCCATACCTGATCTAGAGACATTCCAGAGAGCAGCAGTTTCACTACCCATACCTGACCTCTGCATCCCTCACCATGCATACCTACACACATCCCTCAGCGCCCTGCTGACCTGGCGACAAGGAATGCTGACAAGCAGCGCCACTTGGCAGCGCCCGACATGGACGACTCGTACGCCGCCAGCTCAGCAATCAGCGCGCGCACCAAGTCAGCAGTCGCCGCCCGGGGAGGCCCCCTGGCGAGCCCCTTGACTTTGGCCTCTAGTGCATCCAGATACCGCTTGCACCTCACCTCCGCCTCTGCTGCCACTCGCTTCAACACGTCCTGCTCAAAGACAGATGGGACCAGTGAAAAAACAGTGGGTGTGTTGACATAATGGATGAGTGGGATGGAGGCCCCCTGGCGAGCCCCTTGACCTTGGCTTCTAGTGCATCCAGGTACCGTTTGCACCTCACTTCTGCCTCTGCTGCCACCCGCTTTAGCACATTCTGCTCAGACCAAGCGGGGAACAGCGAGGCACAGTGGAGCACAAGGTGGAGGTGGAGTGGGGCGCAGTGGGGCCTTTGACTTGGGCATCCAGAGCATCGACGTGGAGTGTGCATCGCATTTCAGCCTCTGCTGCCTCCACGGCAGTAACACCACCCCAACCCCCAGCCACTCCATTCCATCCCACCCCATCCCACCTCACCCCACGCCACCCCACTCCACCGCACTGTGCCTCACCTCGAACCTCTTCCCAGCCTCCTCCCGCAGCTTCTCCTCGTACTTGTGTCGGGCCTGCCCCTCCCCCACCGCCTCCTCCCTGAAAGCCGCCTCCGCTGCTTGCAGTGCTGCCCTGTGGTGGGCCCTCAGATCCTCCTGGGGAGAGAAGTGAGAGGAGGGAGCGAGAGGAGAGTGCGAAATTGAGGAAGTCAGGGACAGCATAAATGAGGCACATCAGCCTAATCCCATGATAATCATTTTGGAATCACCTTTTGAAATTTAAAAAAAGACAACCACCTGTGCCAGCAAAAAAGCTTAACACAAAAGGTAAGGCTTAATGTGGCAAATCAATCCGACAACAAACCAATCTCATCTGCAAATGTGGGGGTCCGGAGTGTCTTGTTGTACACGATAAAAGTAGTGTTTTGAGACGTCTCAAAGCAAATGTGGGGGTCCCGAGTGCCTTGTTGTACGCCTCCAGTGCACCAGTGAGCAAAAACAAGGTGCCATGCCAATCCAGCAACAAAACTTACCTCATCAGCAGAAGCGGGGGTGCCAAATGCTCTACCGTATGCTTCCAGTGCAGCCTCAAACGCCCTGCGACACTCCGTTTCCTCCACACTCTGGGGGAGGAAGGACAGGGTTGGAGGAGGAGGGACGTGGGAGGAGGAAGGACAGGGTTGGAGGCGTAAGGAGAGTAGAAGCTACATCAACAAATGGCTCCAGACAAAAAGAACAGATCAATAACATAAATTAAATAATGTCATTCACTCACCAGCCAGGAGTTGAGAATGGTGGGAACAGCCCCGTTATGAGTGCCTGGATATACGCCTGAGTGAGCCCAGCCAGCATCGGCCCTGTCATGACTGTGCCGCCCACCCTCTTGGGGCGAGCACGGGCAAACACTGCCTGGGTAAAGGAGTCAAGCCCCTGCTTAAACTCCGGGCGGAGCTGGTCCATCTGAAACACAGAGGAGGGCCGACGGGAGAAGGGGAGAAGGTGAGAAGGTGAGAAATTGCAGTCATGACTGTGCCGCCCACCCTCTTGGGGCGAGCAACTGCAAACACTGCCTGGGTGAACGCGTCAAACCTCTGCTTGAATTCCGGGCGCAGCTGCTCCATCTGCACGTTGGGGAGGGGTGGGAAGGAAGGTGATTGGTAAGGGGCATTGCAGGACAGGACGGGACGGGAAGAGGGGACTGACCGACACTAAATACACCGCCTGGGTGATTTTTGAGACGACTCAAAAATCGCCTCAGGACAGGACGGGAAGAGGGGACTGACCGACACTACATACACCGCCTGGGTGATTTTTGAGACGACTCAAAAATCGCCTCAGGACAGGACGGGAAGAGGGGACTGACCGACACTACATACACCGCCTGGGTGATTTTTGAGACGACTCAAAAATCGCCTCAGGACAGGACGGGAAGAGGGGACTGACCGACACTACATACACCGCCTGGGTGATTTTTGAGACGACTCAAAAATCGCCTCAGGACAGGACGGGAAGAGGGGACTGACCGACACTACATACACCGCCTGGGTGATTTTTGAGACGACTCAAAAATCGCCTCAGGACAGGACGGGAAGAGGGGACTGACCGACACTACATACACCGCCTGGGTGATTTTTGAGACGACTCAAAAATCGCCTCAGGACAGGACGGGAAGAGGGGACTGACCGACACTACATACACCGCCTGGGTGATTTTTGAGACGACTCAAAAATCGCCTCAGGACAGGACGGGAAGAGGGGACTGACCGACACTACATACACCGCCTGGGTGATTTTTGAGACGACTCAAAAATCGCCTCAGGACAGGACGGGAAGAGGGGACTGACCGACACTACATACACCGCCTGGGTGATTTTTGAGACGACTCAAAAATCGCCTCAGGACAGGACGGGAAGAGGGGACTGACCGACACTACATACACCGCCTGGGTGGGTGAACGCGCCTAACCCCTGCTTGAATTGAACTCACAGGCCGGTGGTTCACACCTCAAAACTCACCGGCAGGTGGTCTAGCTTCTGCAGTAGGCGCTCGTTGCTGATGGGGCGAACGAGAGCGAAGCAGTCACGATCGGGGAAGAGCGAGCGGATGGACTCGCGGATCTGTATGGATGACACGCGGAAAAGGGGGAAGGAAGAGGATGTCTTTTTGTAAGAACACGCCTAAGGGAAAACCAGTCACGGTCAGGGAAGAGCGAGGGGATGGATTCGCGGATCTGCACGGGTGAAAAAGGGCAGAAAAGTTGGTTGGGATGGGAGTTCGGAATGAGATGTGAGTTAGAAAGGCAAGGTCGGAAAGTGACGTCAACGTGATTTTCATGGGAGTTAGGAATACAAAGGGAGTTGGCATTGGGAGGTGAAACACAAACGGTGAGAGTCGAGCACTCCAAACCGTGGTGCAAACCTTGCATCATCGCACAGGTGCAGGGAGAGAGAAGGAGGAAGTACAACAGCGGAGCAACAGACTGAGGAACCGTACCACAACCCACGCCTCACCACACCCAACTGCGCCCCACCGCACCCCACCACGCCTCACCTGGTTCTTAGCCCGCGCAGACTCAGATCCCTCTGCCATGGACTGCAGCGCTGTCTCCAGATAGTCCCGTGGGGTGATCACCCGGCCATCCTCCGTGAGATCAAAGTAGAAGTCCTGTGGAGAGGGGGGGGAGGAGGGAAGCAGCGATGGAGTGTGAATGGCAGGGGAAAGGGGAAAAGACAGAAGGCAGTCCCGCGGGGTGATCATCTGGCCGTCCTCTGTGAGATCAAAGTAGAAGTCCTGCGGAGAGGGGAGGGGGGTGCGCGAGAGAGGAGAAGAGGCAATGCAGTGTGAATGGAGGTCGAGAGAGGAGTGGAGGAAAAACAGGAGGTAGTCCCGGGGGTGATCACCCGCCCGTCCTCCGTGAGATCAAAGTAAAAGTCCTGTGGAGAGGGTGGTGGAGAGGACGAAGGAGGTAGTGAAGAGACGGGGGTGAGAAAGGGGAAAAGACAGAAGGCAGACACGTGGGTTGATCATTCGGCCGCCCTACATGAGATCAATGTGCTTGGCCATCTCAGTGACCATGGAGAGGCGAGGTCCAGAGACGACTCCTGTTCCTAGATGCCTCAACACGCCTCAACACTTACCCTGATTCCTGACCGCAAAAACTCACCCTCAGCAGCCAGAAGAACACTGGCGAGAAGAGCCCCAGCTCCTGCGTGACAGAAGACGACCCCGCTGCCCCCCCCGCTCCTCCTCCTGTTCCCGCTGCTGAAGCAGAGTTGGCGCGCACTTGGATGTGCTTGGTCATCTCGGTGACCATGGAGAGGCGGTCCAGGGACGACTCATCGATGCCGCCCATCTGGTTGTACACGAAGAGCGATGACAGCAGCACTGCCAGAGAGAAGATCTGCGTGCTGTATGTGCCCTGTGGACAGAGGGTAAAAGAGAGGAGGCGTGGGGGAAAACAAGTGTTGAGATGATTAGCCAATGCGCCCATCCGGAGCCGTACAGGCCCTTGGTGCACGGCCGGTGCGTGGGGCCTCTTGTAACCCACAACCCTTTGGTGCACCCGGTGCATCCAACCCCCCTTCCACCCTGCCCATGTAACCGTCTCACCGTCTGGTCGTACGCGTCGATGCCCTCTGAGTCCAGCAGCAGCAGGTGGTACGAGGACCCGTCCGGAGCCGTGACTTTGACTGGCGAGCTCCAAATCCACAGGCCCTTGGTGCACGGCCGGTGCTTCATCCCCTCCCCCACCCTGGCCATTTAACCGTCTCACCGTCTGATCGTACGCGTCGATGCCCTCTGAGTCCAGCAGCAGCAGGTGGTACGAGGATCCGTCCGGCGCCGTGACTTTAACCGGCGAGCTCCAGATCCACAGGCCCTTGGTGCACGGCCGGTGCGTGGGTCCCACTGTGAACCCGCTGCTGCGACCCAGCAGCTGGGGAAGGGGAAGAGGGAAGGAGAAGAAAGGAGAAGATTGGAGAAGCAAGGAGCCGGAAGCAAGGCAAGCTCCAGATCCCCAGGCCCTTGGTGCACGGCCGGTGCGTCGGGCCCACCATGAACCCGCTGCTGCGACCCAGCAGCTGCAGAAGGGGGGTTAGGAAGGGAAAGAGGGGACTGGATGAGAGCGAACGAAGTGACGAGTTAGACGGGTCTCACTGCGAACCCGCTGCTGCGACCCAGCAGCTGAGAAATGATGTCAGGGATTCGCGCACTCATATGCGAGTCATTTTGAGATTTCTCAGAAAGGACGCAGCGCAGCAGCTAGGGCTTCGCGCACTGATGTCCCTCCCTGCGAGGGCCAATCGAGACATCCCTTGTACGTCCAGTCAACAGCAACGACCCCCTCATTTTTACCTGATTCAGTATGAAGCTCTTGCCCTGCCTCGCCCTTCCGCACACCGCGACAACCCCGAGGGGTCCTCGCAGTCGCCGCAGCGCGCTGACGGCTTCGGGGTCCATTCGAAACACGCCCTGCTCATCCTTGTACACCAGCCGAATCGCGCGTGACGTCAGCGGATCGGGAATCGACGCGGCGACCGGGGATCCGGCGTCTCGGGATTGAGGTAACGGGGATAGGGTAGCAGGAGTGGGTTGAGTAGGTGTTGATGGATTTGATTGTCTGGGTAATGACGGCATGGGTGATCTTAGCCCGGTTGTCGGAGATCGTGCGGTTCCAGCAGGAGACGCGGCTGGCGACGGGGAGTTGCCGCTGCCAGTGCCTCGATTGAATATCCACGACATGCTGCCTCGATGCTGCTGTTTTTAAGACGCCTGAATGGCTGTGCTTATACTTAAAGCTGGCCTTGAAATAGGACTAATCAAATATTAGACCTGTCAAAACTCGATTGCTTTCCTGTAGTTGGACAGTAGTAGGGTGGCGTGGGATAGAGGTAACAGATCACAGAATCACATACGATCGAGGGAAGAAGAACACTAGATCTGAGCCCAAAAATAATAGTCGACGACTTACTACTAGTAACCTGTCATACTCTGTCAGCAAGATGCCGACACGGAAACAGAAACCAGCACCTGAGAACTGTTCTGAGCCAAATTCTGGAATCAACTTAACTATTCTGAGAGGTGTGTTGAAGGAACACAAACTCGAGCCAACTTCGAGGGACTCCTGTGAGTTGAAGGAAGAAGAGGGAAAGGTCCTGGGAGAATCGCGCGGGAATTTCGAAGTTCCAGGCTCGTGGCAAGCAGGGGCTGACACCGAGGTCCTGACAAAGGAGGTTTAGTTCGAATGATTTCAGTGTTCTAAAACTGTTTCCGAATCACTGATCACAGATATAGGTTGTTTTGTGAGTATTTTTTTACCAGGCAATGATAAATAAGGGACGCAGCTTAAAACCAGAGTCTCAATTTCCCCTAAATTGCCTCATCCTTCCTACTTTTGGTTGGGTCACCTGGTCCAACCAACCTTCCTACGTTTGTGGGCCTCCGGTTTTAAAAACGATTTGTGAAATACGGCAGGGCAGATGCTAGGTGTGCTGATTTCATGGCAACAAACACTTTGAAAAGAGACAGTGGCCTTGAGGCACGTCAGCAGTTCACATTTCAACGTGTATGGCATTATTCTCTGCATGCTGGGCCCAGAATGTCAGAATCATGGTGAACAGGCAGAAAGTTACATGTACTGGTCTGTTAAAAACATGCCAGAGGACTCCATACTCCAGACCAGAGTCTATGCAGCAGAGCAAGTAGAGCAAATTAGCATCAGTTTATTTCACAAGGTTTGCCCTAGACCAAACTTCACCTCTACAAGTCATAATACCTACCCTCACCTCTCATTAACACATGCCCCACTTCTGCATTTGCAGTATGGGTTACGAGTGCAGTCAACACATCTGGTCCCCTCATTTGCTGGAACTTGGCATTTATTGACACACTCCCCTCTGTAACACCTGCACGGCCCTCCACTGTCACATCCATCGAAACATTCTCCTCCCTCGGCATTGGGTAGTTGACACTGCGGTTTGCACGCACCAGCAGAGCATAAGCAGACTTGGCTGCAAACACGTACACAAACGGCAGAAAAGGATACAGTTAGCTGGTGAATGCGTTAGCGAGTATGAACAGAATGATGATGCCGTGACCGCTTTTCACTCTCAACATCCCTCTTTTCTTCCTCCCATCTCCCAACCCATCACCCAACCTCCACACACCTATAGGTCGCCTCTCACCTCGTGCAATTGTAACTGCATTGCAATCCGTCGCTTCCCACCACACCACATCGCGGCACGCACTTCCCGCCAACGCACGTCCCCTGCTGCGAAAACATATCCCCGCAAGCAGCTCCCTCGTTAGTAGGCAACTCGCAAAACGGTCTACACCGTCCTTGCGTACACCTGCATCCGTTCGTGTTATCCGCGCACGCAGCTCCACCGCTGCACACCGCGCCTTCCGCCAGCCCCCCGTCACAAGGCTCCACGCACTTCCCTTTACCACCACATCTACACCCCGGCGCAGTCACCACGTTAATGTTGTTAACGGGGTAATAATACGCGTTAGGGCACGAGGTGCACGGGTACGCGTTCGACGAGCTGAGAACGAGCGGAACGGGAGAAGGTCCCGTGCACGAGAGGTCGGGCTCGCACTTGCCCGACGAGCCGCAAGCGCACGAGCCGCCTTTCGTCGTGTTGCACGTGCGGCAAACAGTGCCGGGCTCTGTCGCGAACGGGGAGAAGGGAAAGCACGGGGAATGGCGATGAGTTTTTTGCGAACGGGAACAGATGCTAGAATAACAGATGTTATAATGACTCAGTAATTGTTAGAATCTGCACTTGTCGCCTTGAATAACCATGGTTCTAACGTGCCTCCCACTCGTTATCTACGGCTCCCAGTGGCTGCTTTCAGTGGCGTGCACTCACTGGCGATGGCGCAGATGTCGTAGCACAGCCCCGCGCGGCAGTAGCCCTCGCCGGAGTCGGAGTTGGCGCACTTAAAGCCGTCCTTCTCGTTGCAGAACGGCACGCACTTGCCCTTGGACGGCGAACACACACACCCGTCCTTCCCCGCCTTGGCCCTGCCCATGCGGAACAGCCAGGGATACAAAAACGAGAAAACTCGGACCGTGAATGAGCTGAAGATATAACAAGTAAGCCGGAAGATTTATTGAAGATAACAGAGGGACATAAAAGAATTCGAGCTGTGTACCCACGGTGAGCTAGAGTTTACTTATGAGCATCCGATGGTGCAGGTGGGAGTTTGACTTACGAGCATCCGACGGTGCAGGGCGCTCCTCTGACGAGCGCAGACATGGGATTGGCTGTGCTGCACGCGTCGACGCACTGGCCTCGCCCGCACACGCACCCGTTGCCTGTCGCGTTCTTGCACCCAACGCACGCCGTCACGCCGTTGTTGTTCTCTGGGAGCGCGCAGAAGTCGACGCACTGCTGGCTGCCGTTTATGTCGCACGCGCATCGCGCGTTCGGCACGCCGAGACGCTTGCTGGGGCACGTGTTGCACGCGCGCCGCCACGTGGGCGACTTGTAGTCGACGCCTGGCACGTAGCTGCAGGTCGGCCGGCACACGCCGAACGAATCGCAGATACAGCCGCCGGCCGTGGTGCAGTTGGTGCAGCTCGCGCCGACTGTGAACGGTGCGGGGCAGGTTCCCAGCGGGGGAGGCGGCGGAGGCGGGGAAGGGGGAGGCGGAGGAGTCGGGGGAGGGGAGGGCGGGGGAGAGGGGGGAGTGGGAGGTGGAGAGAGCGGCGGTGAGGGCGGGGGGGACAAAGGAGGTGAAGGAGGAGGAGAGAGCGGAGGTGAGGGGGAGGTAGTGGGCGGGGGAGGGGAGGGGATAGGAGGCGGAGGGGAGGGGGTAGGTGGCGGAGGGGAGGAGGAGTCGGGCGGTGGAGGAGACGCGGTCGAAGCCGCGGCGACAGGCGGAGGGGGAGAAACCGTCCCAAGGGGAGGGGGAGGAGAGACAATGGGGGGAGGGGGAGGAGCGGAGACGTCCTGCAGCCACCGCGCGTGGGCGGAGGCGTAGGGGAAGGCGGCTGCGACTGTGGCTTGGAAAGAGATGGTGAGGAGGAGGAGAGAGACTATGAGAGGAGCTAGGAGAGGGAGCCGCGAGGAGAGTGTGATGTGCTCGCGAGGCATTGCTAGAAGAATTTGGGATTGCTGGCGGTGTAGCCGCGAGTGCGAGCGCGATCTGCTCGTGAGGCTTGAAATCGACATTGCTGGCAGTGAAAAAAATCGCTTTAAGAGATTCTTAAACGCGACGAATAAAAATATCGAGCGGGAGACGCGGTCTAGGTCACCTGTAATTTTACCAGTAGGTAGTTCCTTAATGGACCTTGGGAAAAGAAAACGTAGCGCGAGGAACGCTGAATGAGAGGGTTACTCTGGGTGCTTGAATAGGTTGAGGTTGAGGTTACTCTGGGAAGCTAAGGAGCAGAGTCAGCTGGGTGCTGACTTGGTTGAGGCGACGAGCAACGCACGACGTGTTAGGGGGTGATATGAGACAGAGTGGGAGGAGTTTTGAACGAGAAAGTTCAAATCTCCTTGTGGACGGTGGTGGTGTGGTGAGCGGGCTTGGGACGAAAACAAACACAATGTCGGTCGAGGAAAGGCTTTTATTTGAAAGGTGCAGGGAGCGGACGGAGTTGGCCGAACAGTCGGATATTGAGGGACGGCGTGGGGGATGCAACGCGGTACGCGCGAAACTATTCAACAAGGTAGGCTACGTTCGCAGACGGCTAGGACACAAGGCGGGATTTTTTTGAATTTGAGAGTCCACTGCAAGAACACAAGTCCAGACATAGCTCATCGAGAGACTTCTTTAGCAGGTGCAGAGCACGATATGAGCAGGAGGGTATTGGGCGGTTGGGCAGAAACATTTTCCAGCCAGCTGAATCAAGGCAACCGTTGTCACAAGCGGTCTGTCCCCAACTTTTCCCCTACACTAGCCTCCTCCCCTCCCTCTGCCTGGACGTTTTTTGTTTGCCCTCTTCCTCGGCGCCAAATGTGTGCTCAAATTCTCAACAAAATTAACGAACCGCGCCGCCAAGTCTTTCCCCGCGAATCACGAGCCGCATTGGATGGCCGAATTTTGGCCCTGTCGGCAGGGCGCGGGCTTCTCAAATCCGGCGGTTGGCGCGCACACAGTTTGCGAAGAATGTCGCAGGCGCTTAGTTTGTCGGCTCAGGGGACATAGTTGACGTCCAGCGATCGTCAGAACAAGGGCTTTGCTTGGAATCGTGATGTGAGCTGTTCCGCCGTTATAAACGGCATTACGCGCTATTGTTTGGCCCATTGTCGAAACCCAAATCAATACGCGAAAAGTGGAGATCGGAAATAAAAAGCCTTGAAATAATAATACCGTAGATCACAGAAGAATGATATGCATGCAAAAAACAGCTATTTAAACCGTAATCCCTAACCTATTGCCATGCTAATCCATACGTCCATCCCTATATTCGGTTAGTCATCAGTGTGTTGACGACATCCATTGGGTCGAAAATGGTACACATTTCTCATGATCTGGTTACACATGCCGCAGAAGCGTGTACGGCAATTACGACAATGCATGTCGTTATTCCTCCCCTCCTGCAAAGGAAAGACGGGTTGCAAGAAACACTAAGGAACAGGGTAAGATGATACCACCAACACCGCACCAAGAGCACTTTTCTACCTACGCTAGACGACACACTACCTTGCAGCCTGAACCGGCCTTGTCACATGCTAACCTTATGGTTGAATTGACGGCAATTGGGGCAGCGTCTCGCAAGCAGCGGCCTGCCATCCGCTCCAAGGGGCGGCGCGGCTCGTTGGTTGTGGCGCTGTGCTTCAGCCATGGCTGCCATCTGCATCTCCCACTGCTCTATCTCCGCTGCCTCAAACAACACACACTTTCCCTCCCTGGTCATGCAAGGTTGCAAGGGGAAAACAAGGGAAAAAGAGGGGTATGCGACTTGCATCTCCCATTGGTTTATAACAGCTGCCTCAAACAGCACACAGTTGCCGTCGCTGGTGATGCAAGGTTGCAAAAAAAAGAATTGGGGAAAGAAGACAAATGCCACCTACTTCACGCCCCAGAACGCGCCCCCCAAACCTTTAACCATATTGACATGCGATTCAGAAGTAACATGCATGCAGTGGTAACACATGCGTAGCAATAACATACGTGAAGTGGTGCTAACAGAGTGGTAACATGCTTGAACTGGTAACATACGTGAAGTGGTGACAGACATGAAGTGGTAACATACGTGAAGTGGTGACAGACATGAAGTGGTAACATACGTGAAGTGGTCGTAACCGTCGATGCGCTCGTGGCAGCGGTAGCAGAAGAAGGTGTTGCAGGTGGGGCAGACCATCTTGTTGCACCCCTCGCTCTTGCTGATGGCCGTGCTGCACATGGGGCACTGCACACTTGATTCCTCCACCAGCCTGACCATGAGGGGGAGAGGACAGGAACAGTGTGCGGGTGAATGTGAGTTGTGAGTTTGGGTGAGTGAGAGAGGGGATGACAAGGTGGGGCAGACCATCTTGTTGCACCCCTCGCTCGTGCTGATGGCCGTGCTGCACATGGGGCACTGCACACTCGACTCCTCCACCAGCCTGAGGGGAGAGATGAGCAAAAGGTGGAATGTGTGTGAGGGTACAGGAGTGGATACTTCAGAGATAAAAAGTGTCTGGAGTAATAAAGACTGGTAATTTTATGTGTGCTTGGCAGAGAGTACCTACTTGAAATCAAGACTCACTTGAGACTAAGTACTTGTTGCTCGAGGTCCTTATGCTTCCTCAACTCCTCCTCTGCCAAAGCTCGCTCCTGCTTCCGCAACTGAAGCAGGAGAGGGAACAGCAAGCATAGGGAAGAGAAGAGGGGCATGGAGCACGCTTGTAGAATGCTTTCTGATTTCCTAGCTCTCCCGTTTTCGAAGTTCGCTCGTCTAGGCACTTTCTAAACCCTTTCTACCAAAAATCGCCACAGGTGCTCTAAACCCTAAAAAGTCACCCTAAACCGTGGAGAGTCACACGCACCGGACCGATATACCCTGCCCTCTCACCTTCATGAGCTTGAGTGCAAGCTCCGGGGTGATGCAGCTCCTGCCTCGGTGAAAGCCCTCCCGTCACACTGCACTGCACTGCACTGCACAGCGTTCTCACCTTCATGAGTTTGAGAGCAAGCTCAGGAGTGATGCAGCTTCTCCCTCGGTGAAACCCCTCGCGGCACACCCCGCAGAAGGAGAAGAAGCACCCGGGGCACAGTGCATGGTGGCCTTTGAGCTAAAAATTCGCCCAGTAACTGCACTGCACAGCGTTCTCACCTTCATGAGTTTGAGAGCAAGCTCTGGAGTGATGCAGCTCCTGCCTCGGTGAAATCCCTCGCGGCACACCCCGCAAAAGGAGAAGAAGCACCCGGGGCACAGCGCGTGGTGGTCTGATGGGTCCTCCACGGCCGGCTGGGAGCAGCGCGGGCAGAAGGCAATGTCAGGCATGGCGTCTAGGGATCGTTGAAGAGTCAGTTGCTCCCAACGGGAGAATAGGGGCTGGGGGAGCAGGGTGCGCAGGATATCTGTCCAATTGGTAACAGGGGGGTGGGGGGGAAGCGGGGGGAAGAGGGGACTGTGGGTGCAGCGCGGGCAGAAGGCAATGACCGGCATGGCGTCTGGGGAACGTGGAAGGGATAGTTGCTCCCAACGAGAGAAGAGAGGAGCAGGGAGGAGTGTGCGCAGGAAATCTATGGGGCCGGGAAACAGAGGGGAAAGAGGGGACTGTGGGTGCAGCAGCGCGGGCAGAAGGCAATGTCCGGCAATGCATCTAGGGAGCGCTGAAGTTTGCGATGCTCCCTACCGAGAGAAGAGAGAGGCAGGGAGCAGTGATCGCAACAGTTCTGTCTGTTGACGTTTAGCACACCCACCATAGGAGAGGGAGCACGGCACTTGGTATCAGGGCACTTGAGTGCCTGCAGGTTCCCCTCAGCCACGTGCGCCTCTGCAAACGCCCTCATGCATGCACTGCAAAACGCGTGTGTGCACGCTGCTCGCACACACTCGGAGCCAGGCTTCTCAGAGAAGCAGATGGTACACGCGTGGAGAGATGTGCGGAAGACAGGGGGCTTTGATGGGAAGACCTACCGTAGGAGAGGGGAGCACGGCACTTGGTGTCGGGGCACTTGAGCGCCTGCAGGTTCCCCTCAGCCACATGCGCCTCTGCAAACGCCCTCATGCACGCCATGCAAAACGCATGCGTGCACGCGGCACGCACACACTCGGAGCCGGGCTTCTCAGAGAAGCATATGGCGCACGCGTGGAGAGATGCCCGGAACACCCGGTCGTCCATCTCCTTGCTCCACCGCTTGAGGAGAGCCAGGTCGTCCTGTAGCGACATGCCCTCGTACACTGCCCTACAGTACCCTGCTGGCTCGCTGGCCACAGGTGTGACCCCAAATGCTGCTGCGTTCCCCACTGCTGCCCCCCCCACTGGTGCATCTTGGCATAAGCACGACAACGCAGCAGCTCCTGCTGCTGATGCTTCTCCCTTTCTTTCTCCTTCTCCTCCTCCTGCCGATCCGCCCCATCCCTCCCCACCCGTAAGCCTCAGGTCTTGGCCAATCCCAAGGCATCCCAGGGTCTCCTCGCCAAGCCACGCTGCCCATGTGTACAGCACGACCAGGCCACTCTGCTGCTGCCACGTGGCGTCCAGCTGGGCGCAGAGGCGCGCCAGCTGGGCGTGGGAGAGCCAGGAGGAGAAGAGGGTGAAGAGGGGCGGGGAGGCGGAGGGGTAGGTGTGGGGGAGCAGGGCGAGGAGGCGGAGAGGGGGGAGATGTGAGATGAGGAACGGACGAGGTAGAGGGGAGTGGGAAGAGGAGGAGGAGGAGGTGGAGGAGGAGGAGGAGGAGGAGGAGGAGGAGGAGGAGGAGGAGGAGGAGGAGGAGGAGGAGGAAGAGGAGGAGGAGGAGGAGGAGGAGGAGGAGGAGGAGGAGGAGGGGGAGGAGGAAGAGGAGGAGGAGGAGGGGTTGGAAGAAGAGGTTGAGGAAGCGGAAAGAGTGGCAGAAGGGGGCGAAGGGACTACGAGCAGGGGCGAGGGTACCGTGATGCGGATGTCAATCTGGATGGGAACATGGGAAGGAGGGAGAGGCGAAACAAGGTTAACAGAGCAGGGCGATACGACAAAGTGCTTCTTGAAGCAAACAAAGGGACAATACCGCAAGTATCTGAATGGCGAGCTTGTAAGGGATTCTGAAAGACCAGCTGACGTCGTACCATGAAACGGTCACAGAATGCGGTGTTTGATCATTTTGAGAATCCTCCCAGCACATCTCATACCATGAAGCAGTTGTAAGGCGAGGTTGTGAAATTGGAGGCGGCCGTTTCTTGGGGAGCAGAGGCGGAGGAGGGTGAGGAGGGGGAGGAGGAGGAGGATGCGGGCCAGATGGGCTCAAAGTCGGAATCGAAAATGGACTGAAGAGCCTCCACCTGGTGAGGGGCATGGAAAAGCAATGAGAGACAAGGGATTAAGTCTATTACCTGGTAGTAGTAGACTACAAAGAATCCAGGTACTGTAGCTACAGACAGCTTCATCCAACCGATTGTTTCAGCCTCATCTCACCCTTCTCATACTAATCTCTCCCCTCTCAGCCTCATCTCACCCCTCAGACTAATCTCTCCCCTCTCAGCCTCATCTCACCCCTCTCAGACTAATCTCTCCCCTCTCAGCCTCATCCCACCCCTCTCAGACTAATCTCTCCCCTCTCAGCCTCATCTCACCCCTCTCAGACTAATCTCTCCCCTCTCAGCCTCATCTCACCCCTCTCAGCCTCATCTCACCCCTCTCAGCCTCATCTCACCCCTCTCAGCCTCATCTCACCTCCTCCCTCTGCTCCTCCAGGCATTGCTGCTTCTCGCTGTCAGACATGCCCTTCCCCGCCGCCTCGTCAATCTGCCTGGCTCGATCACACATGCGCCTGAGCCGCTCTTCGAATCCCATCGCTGGCATTTTCTGGCTGGCGGCGTTAGAACCGGAAGCAGTTGGCGGAGGAGCAGCGAGCGTTTCCGTGCTCATTATTGCCTTATTGCACAAAGGCGATGGCTTGCGAACGCTGAAACGTCCCAAAACTCGATTATTGTACAATGCGATCACTAGCTAGTTCGAGGCGTAAGGAAAAGCGACGAGATTAAGAGAATATGTACAAGGAAGCGCAATGTTCTCAACTTGAATAAGTCCCTGCCAAGGGCGGAATGGGTTCTGTACTGTCCACGACTAGTTCGACATCGTGGCTAAATGCTACGACGTGCGCACTTGAAGATTCCCCGACGTTAGGAATCCATCGCTTCGCAATTCTTCGTTATGTTACGAGAACGTCGCTCTAACTCGGGATCTTCTATCAAACGGCGGTGCGACAGGCATAATGCTTGCACTTTGGGTGTTTTTTCTGATTAAGCACCACCCATATGAGAAAAGCTCATGTTACGAGACTACAACCGCCATTGCTGCGAACAATATCTACAATGCTTGGACAACTAAGACTAGATGACCATGCGAGAATGACGTTACAAAAAGCTATGGTCGCCTCGCCGTCAACAATCCGGCAGTCGGTAAACGGTACGTCGGCGCAGTACAGAACCTACGAGAAATGCACACTCGTTGTTATTCGTCCCAATGCGAGAGACCTACGATAGAAGCGGAAGGAAAACTGATTATGGAATGACGAACGCTGGACGAATAGCTTTGAATGGGCATAGAAAACAGCAGACAACAGGGACACGGCAGGTCACAGCCATGCCACGTTGGGATTGGGGGGAAACGCGTTTCAAATGAATTGAATGAAACCCGCTACTGGCACTAGTTTGGGCCGGGATTTTACTCCACGCAGTAAGGGTTGGGTACAGTCACGGCGAAGCCAGTGTGTTCATTTGCAGTCATGATTGCGGTTCTGGTCGTTTCCGCGCGCGGAGACGCGGTTCTGGAGCATTCTAGCTCAGGAACACAACCCGCAGAACAAAAACTGCGACAAAGGAGGAATAAAAATTTAACACCCACAAACTCTCAAGCGCAAATTACCGCTGAATCCAATTTTCTCTGTAGCAAATCCGTTCCTCATAACGGAGCGCTTTATATCAAAGGATCAGAGCTCAAAATGTCAGGCATTCCCTAGGCTGGAAACATCAAACTGGCGTTGTCAAACGGCGCTGATAGCTAGAAACGCGGGAGGGGTTATCCTGAGTCAGAACTTCTGACTGTCTGGCATCAGTGTTACGGGTAGGGAGTCTCGGGAAACGCGTGCTTTGACATTGACCCTCCTTTCCTAACATAGACCTACGCATGCCGGTAATGCAATGCATGTCTGACATTCGACCCATGCGTGGCGTCCCAGTATGGTCGAAATTAATTATACGACATTGGGTATTAGAACTGGCTCGAGCATGCACGTCGAATGTCTGATGCTAATACTCAGAAAGCAGGGACCTAGCAAGCGATTACTATCAGATTAGCTTGACACATTCAGGGACCTATCCGGACCTATCAGGTTAGCCTGACACATTCAGGAACCTATTAGAGACCTAACAGGATAGCCTGACACATCCAGGGGCCTATTAGAGACCTATCAGGTTAGCCTGACACAGTCAGGGACTTATCAGGGGCCTATCAGGGACCTATCAGGTTAGCCTGACACATCCAGTTGACAAAAAGCATTAAATCCCAGAGCGAGGTTACTCACCTCGCCTAGACGAACGGAAATGTCCTCTTAGTTTCGAGGCAGCATAGTGTGCACCACTAGAGAGCCGGATAGGCAGAAGCCCCTTGGGCACTCTTTTGAGGCGCCTAAAAAATGTCCTATTAGTTTCGAGGCAGCATAGTGCGCCAGTAGAGAGCCGGATAGGCAGAAGTCCCTTAGGCACTCGCTTGCCATGGCGGAGCACGTTGAAAGCCTCACGTTCGAGCATGCGAAATGGACAGACGTGGTACGTATTTCTGCGACCCTGTGGTTAAATAACTGGTGGTTAGTTAGTCGGTTCTTACTCCTGCGAACGTTCCAGCATATCGCTTTTGTCCGGATTTTCTTGCCAGCTACCTACTACAGGTAGGTGAATGCTATTTTTAAGCACCTGATTGGTTACTGATAGTCTTATTTGTTTTACCCAAAGGCCCTCTCCTCCCCCCCTTCCGCCTCTCCCCCTTTCCTCCTGTCCTCCTCTCCTCCTTCCCCCCTCGCCTCCACCCTCCTCTCCCGCGCAAAAACGCTAGGAGCGCTGGTCGGTGCTCAAGTGCACCAAGCCTGCTGACGTCAGCAGCTCGCTCCTGGGCGTGCGCGATCAGAAGGAGAACCGATGTGGCACGTGCGGCAAGCCCGCAATGACGTGTACAGGTGAGTAAGAGGGCTGCTGACGTGTATAAGTGAGTGAGTAGCACATGTGCGCGTTTCTTAATTAAATTGAAGTGAGTGAGTAGCGCAAGTGGGCTCCCATTAAGCTCCTCCGCTCCCTCTCTCCCTAGCCTCCTGTCGTAATGTGCCTCTCTGAACCTCCATCTCCCCACGCACCTTCCCCCTTCTCCCCGTTTTTTTCCCCACGCAGGTCATTTCGGACACATATTCTTTGAGATGCCACTGTACCACCCGCTGCTGCGCCCTCTGCTCGTTTCCACCCTCAACTACTTCTGCCTTGCCTTCAACAAGGGCTGTTGTTCCTCAATACATGAGCCTTGCGTTTTCCTGCGCACCTCCCATACACCCACCCATCCCACCCCGCCGCAGGTCATTTCGGGCACATTTTCTTTGAGATGCCGCTGTACCACCCGCTGCTGCGCCCTCTGCTCGTCTCCACCCTCAACTCCTTCTGCCTCGCCTGCGGCAAGGGCTGCTCCTCCTCCTCCCTCCGCCACTCACCCTCCCAAGCCCAGGTATGCTTCATTCTTAAGAAAGCACACAAACACACACACACTCAGACGTCTACTATTGTCCACTCGTGCCTGCACTGCAATGTGCCGAGTTCTGCTCTGCAATAGATAGTGTCTGGGTGTCTCTCATGGTGCGGTTTTATTCCCCATCTCTTTACAACAAGATGGTTTTGTCCCCCTGTGACCGTGTCCTGCTCTCGCCCCGCAGCTGGTCTCTGGCTCTCATTCAGCAGCAAAAGGGAGAGCGAGCCAAGGAGCAGTGAAGAAGCGTCATCGGGGGACCGAAGGGGAGGAGAGGAGGAGGAAAGGGAGAGTGCGGGAGGGGGGAAATAGGGAGAAGGGGAAAGAGAAGAGCTACGACGTTCAGGCAGGATCGTCAGCAGCACCAGCAGCAGCGGCGGCAGCAGCAGCGGCAGGACAGGATACAGCAAGAGGCGCTGCAGGGGATAAGCAGGTGGAAGCGGATGGAGGTGAATCAGCTGCAGTAGCAGTGGCAGCGGATGGAGGTGAATCAGCTGCAGTAGCAGTGGCAGCGGATGGAGGTGAATCAGCTGCAGTAGCAGTGGCAGCGGATGGAGCAGCAGCAGTGAGAGAAGAAAAGGCAGCGGCAGCAGAGGGTGCAGAAGCAGCTTCCCCTGGCAACCTGGATCAAGCCACAGAGAGCAAAAGACTGAGTGGTGAGAGGGAGAAGAGTGAGGAGAAGAGAGGGAGGGATATGAGCGAGGAGGTAGAGAGGGAGAAGGATGAGGGGGCTGGGCTTGCTGCTGCAAGGGAGAATGCGCAGCAAGCAGGGGGAGAGGGGGGTGTGGAGGGCGTGGGAGGAGGGGGTGAGGCGGCAGGCGATGCAGGAGGAGAGGAGAATGCGGGAAACGAACGGGAAGGGATGAGAAATCATGGAGTGGTGTCCCTTGTGGACTCTGACTCTCAAAGCGAGGATGATGATGATGATGATGATGGGGATGATGCAGTTGGGTCGACGCAGAGGCTGATCAAGGGAAATGATGCAGATGACAATGACAAGGACATGCCACTTGCCTTCCGCAGCAAGTGCCGATCAGCTGGCTTCATTGGTCCGGTAAGCCACCCCCCTCCCTCCCGGTGCACCTTTCTCATGTGCCTATCACGGTATCACCCCCCTTTTTTTCCACTTTCTCTATGTTGAGGACTTCCCCCTTCTCATAAAACTTATGCAGATCCGTTTGCTAAGCCAGTACAGCCCCCTTTGCAAGCCTTTTACGTTTTTGCATCATCGTCTGAACCCGTATCCTTATGGTCCCACACTTGACCCTTTTCCCGCGTCTGCCTTCCTCTGTATTGGAGTGACTTTTGAGAATTCTCAAAAGTCAATCCGTATCCTTATGGTCCCACACTTGACCCTTTTCCCGCGTCTGCCTTCCTCTGTATTGGAGTGACTTTTGAGAATTCTCAAAAGTCAATCCGTATCCTTATGGTCCCACACTTGACCCTTTTCCCGCGTCTGCCTTCCTCTGTATTGGAGTGACTTTTGAGAATTCTCAAAAGTCAATCCGTATCCTTATGGTCCCACACTTGACCCTTTTCCCGCGTCTGCCTTCCTCTGTACCACTGTGCCACTGCCTCTCTGCGCCCTCACTGTGATTCAGGGCGCCAGGCGAATGCTGGCAACTCTTTCAGACGACGACAATGATGAGAATGATAAGAATGATGGTGACGACAGTGGCGCTGTTCGGGGCAAGAGGGGGGCGGTAAATGGGATGCACAGAGGCAGCGGGCGTGGGAGCATGGGCGGCAGGAGAGAGGGGAAGGGGAAGGATGAAGGGAAGTGGAAGGGCGAAAGGAATGAGAAGGGTCAGTGGAAGGGGAAGGAGAAGGTTGTGGAGGAGGGCGAGAGGGAGTGGGGAGAATGGGGCACAGCGAGGCCGGGAAGTAAGGGAAAGGGGGACCCGTTTGGTGAGGACGAGGAGGAGTGGGAGGAGGGGGAAGTGGAGGATTGGGAAGAGGGGGAGGGGGAAGAGGGGGAGGAAGGCGAGGAAGGCGAGAAGGTGGTTGTGGAGGAAGGGGCGGAAGGAATTCCTGTGGTTGGTCCGAGCAGAGTATTTGCTGGGAGTGGGAGTGAGGGTCAGGGTCAACCGGAGGAGGGTCAACAGGGGTGGGGTCAACCAGAGAGGGGTCAACAGGAAAGGGGTCAACAACAGGAGAAAGGGATGGGGGTGGAGGGTTCTCATGCCTCTGGCAGTGGGGATGACGTGGTGGAGGTTTCTGGTGGTGAGCCTGTCTCTGGTGGTAAGAGTGTTTCCACCTCAAGAGGGTGTGGAGGCAGGAGGGGGGGGAAGAGCCCAAAGAAAATCCCAAAGAAGAGCCCCAAGAAAGGGTTCAAGGGGAGTGAGGAGCAGAGGAGGATGTGGCGGGAGTGTTGGAGAATGCGGATGCAACGGGCAAGGGAGGGAGTGCAAGCGGGGGGAGAGGTGGGGCGGGCAGAAACGGGGTCTGAAAACTTTGACGACGTGGGGCGTGCAGGAGCGTATCGGTACAGCATGCGACCGAGAGAGGCCCTGCACCGGCCGGCCGTTGTGGTTGAGGATGAGAGGCGGGCGGCGGAAATGAGGGAGAAACTGGCTACTGAGGGGAAGAAGAGTCCGAAGAAGAGGAGGAAAGGGGATGGGCGGAAGTGGGGAGGGCGAGGGAGAGGAAGGGGGAAGAGGGAGGATGGTGTTTGGGGTGATGGTGGTGAGGTGGAGGGGGGAGGGGAGGAGGGGGGTGGGTCTAGCGAGAGTGAGAGTGAGGAAGAGGAGGAGAAGGAGGGAGGTAAGGAGCAGGAGGAGGGGGAGGGGGAAGAGGAGGACGAGGAGGATGAGAGGCGGATGGAGGAGGAACAGCAGAGGCTGGAAGTGCAGGCGAGGGAGTTGGAGAGGAGAAGGGTTGGGGAAAGAAGGGTGAATGGTGGGGCGGATGGGGAGGCAGGAGAAGATGGGGACGAGGAGGGTGATGAAGATGGTGGTGGGGGTGAGGAGGGATGGGAGGATGCGGGGGATGCAGCTGCAGCGAGAGAGGCGGAGGAGGAGGAGAGGAGAGAGGAGGGAACAGAGGGAGCAGGGAGGGCAGGGGAGGAGGGAGGAAGGGAGGAGGGGGCGGAGGAGGAAGAGGAGGAAGAGGAAGAAGAGGAAGAGGACGAGGAGTTAGAGAGTGACCTGCTCAAGCATAGTCGGATACAGGAGTCTTTGGAGTTTGAGGCGAAAGGGGGAGGTGGGATTGGCAGGGGAGATGCCGTGGGTGAGGGTGAGGGATGGGAGGAGGTGGGGGAGAAGCGGAAGGGGAAGGGGGCGGTTGGGAGGACGGGCAAATTCAAGAGGAGACGGGGCGAGAAGGGCTACAGCGCAGAGGGAGCAGTGGATGGGAGCAAGGAGAGGAGAAAGGGGGATGTGGAGAATGAGAAAAAGAAGCCCTTCGAGGATGAATGTGTATGGTGCCAGGTTAGTAGCGCTGCCAGTTTAATGATGATGCCATTTTAATGCTAGATCAATGCTGATGCTAGTTCAATGCTACCAGTTCAATGCTGATACCCCTCCACTCCCTCTCCTTCCACCCCTCTCCACCCTCATCAGCGTCGCTCCTGGTACCAAGTGATGGACGCCTGGGGCAAGGAGGGCGGAGCTTATGCAACAGCATCAACACCAGCAGCAGCCTACTTTGCCTTCCTACTCTCCCCTCCCCTTCCCCTCCTCTCTGTCCCGTCCCTACCCCTCACCAGTGTCGCTCCTGGTACCAAGGGGTTGACATCTGGGGCAAGGACGGTGGCACACACACGTCAGCAGCAGCAGATGCGGCTGCCAACTGCTTTCTCTGGCTGCACCCGTGCAGGCAGGACAGGCTGCTTTAAGGCTCTGGGCGTCTTTTGAGTTAAAGCTCACCCTCCCTCCTCCCATCCCTTGCCCCCCTCACCTCACCAGCGTTGCTCCTGGTACCAAGTGGTTGACGGCTGGGGCAAGGACGGCGGCACACATACAGCAGCAGCAGATGCGACGGCCAACTGCTTTCTCTGGCTGCGTCCCTGCAGGCAGGAGGGCCAGCAGGACAAGCCGCTTTTAGAACTCTGAGCCCTGCTGACCCAGGAGGGCCCAATTCCTCCTTCCCTCCCTTCCCCGCCCCACCTCCCCATTACCTCCCCTCCTTCCCCTCCCCTCCTCCCATCCCTTGCCCCCCATCCCTCATCAGCGTCGCTCCTGGTACCAAGTGGTGGACGCCTGGGGCAAGGACAGCGGCACTCATACAGCAGCAGCAGATGCGACTACCAACAGCTTTCTCTGGCTGCGGCCCTGCAGGCAGGACAAGCTGCTTCTGGGGCTCTGGGCCCTGCTGGCCCAGGAGGGCCTAGGAGGAGGAGGAGGAGGAGGAGGAGAGATGGGGGTGGGGGGGAAGGGAGGGGATGGGGAGATCAAGGACTGCCCTCCACTCGAGATGGCGCCCTTCTGGGTATGATATATTTTGTGAATTATTTCATGCTGAAACGCGTGTTTTGGTTTTGTACTTCTATGTTGTTCGCCTAGCAGATAATATTTGTTTCTGTGCAGGTATTTTCTACTAAAACTGTGCGCTCCTGCCCTTGGTTGGTTTTTTTCTTGCTGAAACACATCTGCATACATGCGCGAGTGCGCGTGGTGTGTGTGCCTGCCTGTGTGTGTGTGCCTGCCTGTGTGTGTGTGCCTGCCTGTGTGTGTGTGCACGCACATGGGTGTGCATGCGTGCATGTGTGTCGGTGTTGTGTGGTTCAGGCTAAAATAGTCCTACAAAAGGCCCTTCATACCAACGGGGCCGTGGAAGGAGGGCAGGAGAGGGACGATGAGAGAACAGCAGCGAGGAGCAGAGACAGGACAAGGCAACAGCAAGGGAAGCACATGGGAAGGGAAAGGGCGGGGAAGGGGCAGCAGAGGGGTGTGGTGGGTGCGGTGGTGGAGGTGGGGGTGGGGCAGGGCGCGTGTGTGCCGCTGGTGAGGGCGCTGCAGGTGTGCCTTGAGTCTGGCATCGTGGGTGCGTGGCCTGTTCCCCCACACCACCTGCGCCTGTCTGAGAACGCTGACGATGAGAAGCAGGAGGTGAGTGAAATTGGATGGGCGGAGAGACGTAGGGGAAGGATAGGGCAGGGGAGAAGCAGAAGGCAGGGCGGGAGTGTGCCGCCTCACCACCTGCGCCTGTCGGAGAATGCTGAGGATGAGAAACAGGAGGTGAATGACTAGGGTTAAACGGAGAGAAGTAGGGGAAAGGGGGAAGCGGGCTTCTCTGGCGGCATGGTTTTTTAGGGCTGGGGGTGGGGGTGGGTTTGGGGGTGGGAGTGGGTGAGGGTGGGGATGGGGGTGTGGGTGAGGGCTGGTTGGGGTTGCGCGTGCCAGTAGGGGTGGTTGGGGGGAGGGCTGTAGAACTTGCACCATCGGTCTCTGACAGCTGGATGATGCTCATGCTTCAATTATTCACAGCCCCTCCCATCCCAAACCCCCACATAGGACTATCTGTCAAGGTCAGTGAGGCTGAGGGCAACGATGCGACTGAATGCAGAGATAGGGGCTTTAGTGCATGGCAATGGGGCGGCTGAATGCAGAGATAGGGGCTTTAGTGCATGGCAATGGGGCGGCTGAATGCAGAGATAGGGGCTTTAGTGCATGGCAATGGGGCGGCTGAATGCAGAGATAGGGGCTTTAGTGCATGGCAATGGGGCGGCTGAATGCAGAGATAGGGGCTTTAGTGCACGGCAACGGCAGGCGCCGGTGCGAGCAGCTCAATGTATCCCCCCCCCCTCCAGGCACCCCTTTTCCCTTCCTCACCCCATCCCCCGCGCAGGACTATCTGTCAGTGAGGCTGAGGGCGATGGTTCGTTTGAATGCAGAGATTGGGGCACTGGTGCATGGCAAGGGCAAGCACCGGCTGGAGCAGTTAAGACAATCCCCTCTCCCCACATCCCATCTCCCATGCAGGACTACCTGTCAGTGAGACTGAGGGCGATGGTGCGGCTGAACGCAGAGATAGGAGCTCTGGTGCATGGCAAGAGCAGGCGGCGGTGGGAGCAGTTCAAAACCCCCCCCCACCCTCCCGGCCCCCCTTTTCCCCCCCTCATCCCATCCCCCCCGCAGGACTACTTGTCATTGAGACTGAGGGCAATGGGGCGGCTGAATGCAGAGATAGGGGCTCTGGTGCACGGCAAGGGCAGGCGGCGGTGGGAGCACTCAATGAATCCCCCCACCCTCCCGGCCCCCCTTTCCCCCCCTCACCCCATCCCCCCGGCAGGACTATCTGTCAGTGAGGCTGAGGGCGATGGTGCGTCTGAACGCAGAGATAGGGGCACTTGTGCATGGCAAGGGCAAGCACCGGCGGGAGCAGTTTGGCGGGGCGGAGGGGGACGGGGGAGGCATTGCGGTGCGCTTGCATCTGGCGTTCGGCCGGCTGAAGAAGCTGCAGGTGGAGCTGCAGCACTACTTCGTGCGCCCCCCCAACCAGTACCAGGTGCAGACCCCCCCCCCTTTCTCCTGTACAGTACAAAGTGCGTCCCCCCTTCCCTCCCCATTACACGGTGCGGAAGGGGACGAGGGGGGTGGCATGGCGGTGCGGTTGCATCTGGCGTTCTGCCGGCTGAAGAAGCTGCAGGTGGAGCTTTTGAGACGTCTCAAAACACTTCTTCAATCATCTGAAGAAGCTGCAGGTGGAGCTGCAGCACTACTTTGTGCGGCCCCCCAACCAGTACCAGGTGCAGAACCCCTCTTTCCCTCCAGTACAAGGAGCACCCCTCTTCATAGAGCAGCGATTCAAGGGCCACAGCACCTCCTCTTCCGCGTGTAGAGAGGGTGTTTTTGGGACGTCTCAAAACACCCTCTTCATAGAGCAGCGATTCAAGAGCCACAGCACCCCCTCTTCCGCAACGCCATCGTCGGCAAGCGCTCCGAGTCCTCTGCCCGTGCCGTCATGCCTTTTGAGTCGATTGAAAAGTCACTTGGTTGGCAAGGGCTCTGAGCCCTCCGCCCGACATCGCACCCCTCCACCCCATTCTTTCACCTTCCTCCACCCGACTCCCCCCACCACCGCAGGCCATCCTGCACGAGGCAGGGCTGGGCATAGAGCAGCGGTTCAAGGGCCACAGCACCTCCTCCTCTGTGCGCTCCAACGGATTCATACACGATGCGATTCTGGGCAAACGCTCTGAGTCCTCCGCCCGTGCCGTCATCGCTCTCTCATCTCTTCCTTTCCCTTTCCTTCCCATTCCCCACCACCCTTTGGCTTTGAGCCCCAGGCCGTTCTGCACGAGGCAGGGCTGGGCATAGAGCAGCGCTTCAAGGGCCACAGCACCTCCTCCTCTGCTCGCTCAAAGGGATTCATTCGCGACGCCATCCTCGGCAAGCGCTCCGACTCCTCTGCCCGCGCCGTCATCGCACCGGACCCCTCCCTCGCTCTGCACGAGATCGGGGTCCCTGACTCCATCGCTGCTGGCCTCTTCGTTCAGGTGAGCTCCTGTGCAGCAACTGGGCTCCTTGCAAAGTGTTTCCTCCGTGTCCTTCTTACTCCTCTGCCCGTTCTGTCATCGCGCCCGACCCTTCTCTCGCCCTGCACGAGATCGGCGTCCCTGACTCCATCGCTGCTGGCCTCTTCATCCAGGTGAGCTCCTTTAGAGTTCTTGTTCCGTGTCCTCTGCCCGTGCCGTCATCGCCCCCGACCCCTCTCTCGCCCTGCATGAGATTGGCGTCCCTGACTCCATTGCTGCTGGCCTCTTCGTTCAGGTGAGCTCTTTTGCAAGTTAACTCCTTGCAAAGTGTTTGCTCTGTGTGCACTGACTCCTCTGTCCGTGCCGTCATCGCACCCGACCCTACTCTCGCCCTGCATGAGATCGGCGTCCCTGACTCCATCGCAGCCGGACTTTTCGTTCAGGTGAGCTTCGTATAGATCCAATGGTAGCCAGGGCAAGCGCTCCGTATCCTCTGACTCCTCTGCCCGCGCCGTCATCGCACCCGACCCCTCCCTTCTCCCTTTCCTTTCTCCCTTCCGTTTTTCTCTTCCCGTTCTCCCCTCCGCTCTCTCCTCTCCCCAGGAGCCTGTGTCTCATCTCAACCTCGACTTCCTCCAAGCCTGTGTGGACGCTGGGCCATGCCCGCTGCCTCTCCCACCACCTCTGGACACCGGAGGAGAAGGGGACGCCTGTGGTGGTGGCAGCGGTGGTGCTGCTGCTGGTTGGACTTCTGGTGCGGGTGGGGATGGGGGTGTGCCTGCTGCTGCTAATGGTGCAGGTTGGGGTGCTGGCGGTGCTGCAGATTCAGGCTGGGGTGGCGGTGCTGCTGATTCAGGCTGGGGTGGCGGTGCTGCTGATTCAGGCTGGGGTGCTGGCGGTGCTGCTGATTCAGGCTGGGGTGGTGGTGCTACTGCTGGTGCAGGTTGGGGTGCTGCTGGGGGTGGTGGAGATGGGGGTGTGCCTGCTGCAACTAATAATGGTGGGTGGGGTGCTGCTGCTGCTGCTGCTGCTGATCGTGCAGGCTGGGCTGCGGCTGGTGGGGGTGGATGGGGAGCAGATGCTTGTGCTGATGGGGGTGCATGGGGCACTCATGGTGGTGCTGCTGCTGCTGCAGGTGGTACTGGAGGGGGTGGGTGGGGAGCTGATGCGCCTGCTGGTGAGGGTGCATGGGGCACTCATGGTGATGCTGCTGCTGCTGCAGGTGGTACTGGAGGGGGTGGGTGGGGAGCTGATGCGCCTGCTGGTGAGGGTGCATGGGGCACTCATGGTGATGCTGCTGCTGCTGCAGGTGGTACTGGAGGGGGTGGGTGGGGAGCTGATGCGCCTGCTGGTGAGGGTGCATGGGGCACTCATGGTGATGCTGCTGCTGCTGCAGGTGGTACTGGAGGGGGTGGGTGGGGAGCTGATGCGCCTGCTGGTGAGGGTGCATGGGGCACTCATGGTGATGCTGCTGCTGCTGCAGGTGGTACTGGAGGGGGTGGGTGGGGAGCTGATGCGCCTGCTGGTGAGGGTGATGTGGGTGCATGGGGCACAGATGCTACTGCTGCTGCTGGGAGGGGTGGTGATGATGCTGCTGCTGAAAGGGGTGGTGCTGGTGGGAGTGGGTGGGGAGCTGATGCTGCTGCATGTGGGGGTGAGGGTGGTGCATGGGGCACGGATGCGTCTACACCTGGTGGCAGGGATGGTGACGCTGCTGCTGCAGGTGATGCTGCTGCTGCAGGTGGTGCTGGTGGGAGTGGGTGGGGTGCTGATGCTTCTGCTGGTGCAGGAGATGGGGGTGCATGGGGCACGGATGCTGCTACTCCTGATGGTGCTGCTGCTGTTGCTGGTACTGGTGAGGATGGGTGGGGTGCTGAGGCTACTGCCGACGAGATAGAGGAGGAGAAGAAAGAAGGTGGGAAGAACGAGGGGGAGAGGAGTGAGGAGAGGGGAGGTGAACCAGTGCAAGGGGGATGGGGAGAAGGGGAGAAAGAGGAGGAGACGAAGCGAGAGGCAGAGGGAGCGATGCAGGGTGGATGGGGAGAGGGCGAAGAGAAAGAGGTGGCTGAGGAGGAGAAGAAGAAGGGAGAGGTGGCAGAGAAAGGGGTATGGGGAGAGAGGGAGTCGGGGGACGCAGATGGAAAGAAGCCTGGAGATGAGGGGGTAAATGGATGGAGTGCTGATGCTGATGCTGCTGGTGTTGCTGATGCTGATGCTGATGCTACTGCTGCTAATGCTGATGATACCGCTGCTGCTGCTAAGGATGGCGTTGATGCTGGTGCTGCAGGTAATTGGGGTGGTAGTAACGGTGCTGCTGCTGATGGCTGTGGTTGGGAAGGGAATGGTGGCGGTGCTGGTGGTTCTGCCAGTGGTTGGGGTCGTAGTGACGGTGGTGGCGGTGCTGCCACTGCTGGCAGTAAAGCAGGTGGTTGGGGTGGCGGTAGTGGTGTTGCTGCTGCTGCTCCAGCTGCTGCTGCTGCTGCTGATGCTGGTGGGGGTGGTTGGGGAGGGAGTGGTGGTGCTGGTGGTTCTGCTGGTGGTTGGAGTGGAAATGACGATGCTTCTCCCGCTGCTGCTGCTGCTACTGCTGCTGCTGGCGGTAATGCTGGTGGTTGGGGTGGCAATGGTGCTGATGCTGCTGCTGCTGCTGCTGATGATGACGCTGCGGATGCTGATGGTGCTGGTGGCGGTGGTGGTGGTGGTTGGGGAGGGAATACTGCTGGTGGTTCTGCTGGGGGTTGGGGTGGTGGTGACGGTGCTGCCACGGCTACTGCTGCTGATCGTAATGCTGGTGGTGGTTGGGGTGGTGCTGCTGCTGATGCTGCTGATGCTCCTGCTGCTGCTGGTGCTGGTGCTTCAGGCTGGGGGAAGAATGGGGGTGATAATGGTGGTGGTGGTTGGGGTGGTGCTGCTGACACTGCTGGAGCTGGTGCTGGTGCGTCGGGTTGGGGGAACAATGAGGCCAGTGGTGCTGGTAACGCTGGTGGATGGGGAGGGAATGACGGTGCTGCTGCTGCTGGTTCTGGTGATGCCGGTACCAGTGGGGCTTGGGGCACTGCACCTGCTGCTGCCACTGCTGCAGGTGGTAATGCCTGGGGGGCCACAGCGCCTGGTGATGCAGCCATACCTCCTACACCGTCCCCTTCGTCCGATCGCCGCCCTCCCCGCCCACCCAACCACGTCCTGCCACCTGTCGGCGCGTTTAGCGTTCTCATTGGCTCTGATCCTGCTGGAGGGGCGATTGGAGGAATCACAGGAGGAGCATCGGCCAATGGTGGCACGCCAGAGTGGACCAAGGTGACTCTGAGCCGATGGGTGGATCGTGGCTTGAGCCTGCAGGTGGGAACCGGGCCAGTCTCAGGTGTACCTACCCCAGGCGCACCTTCTGCATCAGAGCGGGCATCTGCTGCCCTCGCAGCATATGTGAGGTCTGCCCTGCTTGCTGGCATTGCATCCACTGCTCCTGCTGCTGACGCTGGTGGTGGTGGTGGTGGTGGTGACGGTGGGGATGGTGGTGGTGGGGGGAGGGTGGTGGGGATGACGGTGCTGCGCCACGTGGCGGATGGAGATTGGCTGCTGCTCAACCGTACACCATCGCTGCACAAGCAGAACCTCATGGCGTTCCGGGTGCGCCGCGTGCCGGCTGCTGTCTCCGCCAATGCGCTCCTGCTCAATCCCCAGGTGTGTGCCGCCATAGCAGGGGACTTCGATGGAGACGAGGTGAATGTGTTCACGGTGCAGCAGAGCTAACAAACTTATCTTCACTTTTCCCTCTCCGCGCTCGCCTCACAGGTGTGTGCCGCAATAGCAGGGGACTTTGACGGAGACGAGGTGAATGTGTTCACGGTGCAGCAGAGTGCCGTGGCAGCAGAAGCAGGCGAGCTCATGCCCGTGGACAAACAGCTCTTCCCCTCCCTCCCCCTTCCACCACTCCCGCCTCCACCTCTCTCTCCTCCTCCTCCTCCTCCTCCCCCTCCTACTCCTCCCCCTGCGCCTTCCCTTCCTCCCTCACCTGGTCCCTCGTTAGCTCGCCCTGCTACCACCACAGCAGCTGCTGCTGCTACCTCCTCTCGTTCCTCTGCCTGCTGCTCTTGTCACTCCTCCTCCTGCTCCGCCTCCTCCCCCTCCTCCACTTCCGCTCACCCGCACGCCCCCCACCACGACCCAGCAGTCATGTCTCTTCAGCAGGACGCGTTGCTGGGTCTGCACCTCCTCGCCTCCCCGCCCCCCTCTTCCCAATCGCTCTTCCTCTCCCGCCCAGACGCCACCCAGCTTGCCCTTCATGCATGGGAGGGCATGGGGATGGTGGCTGGGGGAGGGGGGACGGGGGATGGCTGGGATTGGAGAAGCAGGTGGGGAAGGAGGGGTGGAAGAGAGGGGAGCGGGGGAGAGGTAGGAGGAGGGTTGATTGCTGTTGTGGATGATGGGGATTGGGGGAGGGGATTGGGGGAGGCGCCGGCGCAGGGAAAGCAAGAAGGCAAGGCAGCAGCAACAGCAGCAGCAGGTGAAGAAGCGGCGGCAAGGGCAGCAACAAAGAATCCCTTTTTTCCTCTTCCACCGCCAGCCATTCTAAAATACCCTCTCCCAGGCAGCAACAGCAACAGCAACAGCAACAGCAACAGCAACAGCAACAGCAACAGCAACAGCAACAATAACAGCCAGAGCCACCATCCACCTCCCCCGGCCCCTCCTCTCTGGACTTCCCTTCAGCTGCTCTCCACCGTCATCCCCCCTTCCCTGTGCTTCCAGCACCGCCAGTGCGGCGTGCGGGTGCATCAGGGGGAGGTGGTATTCGTGAACGAGCATGGGCGCATGGGGGTGGGGAGGGGTGCGAGGAGGCGTGGGGGTGCGGGAGCAAGGAGGCATGGGGATGAGGGAGCGAGCAGGGAGAAGGGAAAGAGTGAGGAGGAGAGTGGGGGGTTGAGGGTGGTGATGGAAGAGGATGAGGAAGGGGAGGAGGACGGGGAGGGGGAAGGAAGTGGTAAAAAGGAGGGGGGAAGCGAGGGTAGAAAAGAGGAGGAGGTGGAGGTGGGGGACGAGTCGCGGTGGCTGAGGGGCGGCAGCGATGGGCTGCTAGCAGCCATCTGGCAGCACCATCCGCCAATGGCTGCGCGACACCTGGCGGGTGTGCAGGCGCTGGCAGTGAGCTACCTGTTATCTATCGCCAGCTTCAGTGCCGGCCTCTCTGACTTCTGTGGCCTGCCTGCTACTGGTGCTGCTGTGGCCAGTGGCTCCTGTGCCCTGCCTCCTGCCAGTGACGCCAGTCACCTGTCTGCTGCCAGTTTACCTCGCACTACCTCTCTCTCTCCTCCTCCTCTCCCTTCTCCGCCCAACCCTGCGCCGCCGCTCTTCTCGCGTGCTTCGCCCTTGTTCCCGCGGGGCAATGCGGTGAGGGAAATGGTGGGGGCGGGCAGCAAGGGCTCGCCCAAGGTGATTGCCCAGCAGGTTCAGCCGCAACACACAGAGATGCCCCACTGCCCGACCCACTCCCTGCCCCATGCTCCTTATGTCCTCGATCCGATTCAGTTGAAACTCTTCGCTCCAAAATCAGTACACAAGAAAGACCCTGCCAGCTCTATCCCTCCCAAAGCACCACCTGCGCCTGCTCATGACTCTGCGCCTGCTCATGACTCTGCGCCTGCTCATGACTCTGCGCCTGCTCATGACTCTGCGCCTGCTCATGACTCTGCGCCTGCTCATGACTCTGCGCCTGCTCATGACTCTGCGCCTGCTCATGACTCTGTGCCTGCCCCTGCTGATTCTCCCGCGCCTGCGCCTGCGCCTGTTCCTGCGCCTGCTCGTGCCCCTTCCCGAGGCTTGGGGCTAGGCTTAGCCCGAGGCTCCCTCCTGACGGGGCTTTCGGCTCGAGAGCTCTTCCGAGCCGCAGCTTCGGCTAGGCCTGCTCTGGTTGCCGAGGCTACGAGCGTGGCTCGGCCGGGTGAGCTTTCTAGGAAACTGAGGGAAACGCTTAGGGATATCGTGGTGGGATATGATGGGTCTGCGAGGATTGGAGGAGGAGTGGGGGGGAGAGGGGGAGGAGGGAAGGGAGGTATGGTGGTACAGTTGTTGTATGGACGGTTGGGGGTGGAAGAGTGGGGAGAGGATGGGGAGGGGGGCAAGGTGAGGAAGGAGGAATGGCAGGAAGGTAAATCTGGTAAAGGCAAGAATGGAAGAGACAAGGGGAAGGGGAAGGACATGGGGAAGGGGAAGGAGAAGATGGGGGAGAATGGCACAGAGAAGGGAAGGCGGAAGGCGGAAGGGAAGAAGGTGGGTGGGAGGAGGGAGGTGGGGGGGCAAGGGGTTTCGTGGGCGGAAGCAGGGGATGCAGTGGGGATGGCAGCGGCGCAAGCAGTGTCGGCTCCGGCCACACAGATGGTGCTGAACGTGGGGCATGACGGCATGCATGGTGGCGCCTCCTCCCTCATTGCCCGGCTAGAGGTGAGAAAGGCGAAGAAGAGGTGTGAGAGAAAGCGAGATGATTATGAATGCATGTCATACAAGCAGTGTCGGCTCCAGCCACACAGATGGTGCTGAACGTGGGGCATGACGGCATGCATGGTGACGCCTCCTCCCTCATTGCCCGGCTAGAGGTGAGAAAGGCGAAGAAGAGGTGTGAGAGAAAGCGAGATGATTATGAATGCATGTCATACAAGCAGTGTCGGCTCCGGCCATACAGATGGTGCTGAACGTGGGGCATGACGGCATGCATGGTGGCGCCTCCTCCCTCATTGCCCGGCTAGAGGTGCGGGAAATTCTCTTACCATGCCGCCTCTAAACATTTCCAATCAGGGTGATTTGAGCTGAAGATTGACTCAAATCAAAAGTCATGATCGATAACTCGTCTGCCGCCCCCACGTGCATTCCATCTCTCTAATGCCCACAGCTTTCAAATTTTATCCAGATTCGTATTTTCCTTCCACTTCTTTCCCCTGCCCCAACTTATTTGTCACACTCTCCCTCCAGCGCCTTCTCTACGCGACTGACTCCTCTCCAACAGCCCTGCTGCGGTTCCTCCCAGCTCAAGCCACCACTCCCGCCATGGACAACGCAGCCACGTCAGCACACCCACCTGTTGCTGCCACTGCTGGAGCAGCAGCTGCGGATTGTCGGTTGGCGCTGGCAACGCAGGGCCGGCTGCTGCCTCTGCGCGTCAGGCAGCTGGCCTCGCACGTCATGATCGAGTGAGTGTCATGGGGGGGAAGGGTTAGGCAGCACCAGCACCAGCACCAGCACCAGCACCAGCACCAGCACCAGCACCAGCACCAGCACCAGCACCAGCACCAGCACCAGCACCAGTTGCTGCTGCAGACTGTCGGTTGGCTCTGGCAACACAGGGTCGGCTGTGGCCTCTGCGTGTGAGGCAGCTGGTCTGAGGTGTATTTTGAGGCGCCTCAAAATACACCTCTCTGCGTGTGAGGCAGCTGCTCTCTCACGTCATGATTGAGTGAGTGGCGTGGCGTGCAAGGCATGGGCAGCAGCTTAAACCAGAATGAATTTACCCGTGTAGATGTAGTTGACGCAGGGTAAGTCTTCTTTCTCATTGGGCTGACCTGACCACCCTGCGCCTTTTAGGTCTCCCCTCAGCTTCGGGCGTGCCGTGCCTTTTGGGTCGACTCACAAGTCACCTTGGTTCAGTGCCCATGGAGTGACATGTCACCTTTAGAGTGACATGCCCATGTCACTTATCGACTCCCCCCCCTCATTCCGGCCCGACCACTGCCCCGCTTCTCTCATGTCCCCACACACGTCCCTTCCATTTTCCCCCGCCACACCCCTCTCTCCCCCTCTCCTCCGAACTTCACCCCTTTCAGGTACCGAAAGAAGGAGCTGAGGCGATGGGACGAGGGAGTGCAAGCAAGTGAAGCGAAGGCAAGGAGCGAGAGGGAGAGGGAGAGGCAGAGACAAATGGAGGATGCAGCAAAGCAGCAGCAGGGGGCAGGTGGAAGGGGCAGGAAGAGAGGGAGAGACGGACGGGGAGGGGAGAGAGGGAAGGGAGGGGCAGGAAAGGGGAGGAGGGGGGTCGGGAGAGGATGGGAGGAGGAGAGGGCAGGAGTGAAGGAGGCTTGCTGGAGGGTGCACATTCGGCTGTCAGAGGTGAGAAAGGTTGTGTTGTATACATGTAATTGCATGAAGCGGAGTGATGGAGAGGGATTCGCACAAGGGTGTGAGTTAGGAGAGAGCAGGACTGGAGGAGGCGTGCTGGTGGGTGCACCATCGGCTGTTTGATGAACTGACCAGCTTTGGTTGTGTTTTCCTCTGCTGCGTTTTCCAGGGAGCCATGCGAGATGACTGCCTGCCATGCGTTTCCCTCACGTTTTCCCCCTGTTTTCCATGTGTTTCCCTTGTTGTATTTCCTCACCACAGGACGCAGTAGCCAAGGCGTTCGCTTGCCTGCCAGCGTCTCGCTTCCCTGATCCTCCTGCCGCCATCCATCAAGCTGTGAAGGCAGCCGTCCAATCACATCTCGACACGTGGCACATGGAGAGGACGGGAAAGGCATGTGGGGCAGGCGACCTGGTGCATCTGATGCACGTGGACATCAAGTGAGTGGATCCGTGCTGCGTCATCAGTCCTGTCATTGTCGTTGTGTCAGCGCATTTGAGTAATCGTCACTGTAAACACCCCTCCGTTTCCTCTCTTCCCCATCCACCCACCCACCAGCTACACTCACACACATCAACACGCACGCACGCACATGCGTGTGCACTCTCACTCTCACTCTCACTCGCTCTCTCACTCTCACTCTCACTCTCACTCTCACTCTCACACACGTGTGCACATGCACACACACTCTCTTCCACTGCACATCGGCACAGCAGACCCACTTACATCTTTCCTCCTTATTTCCTCGACCTCTACCTCCCCGCATTCCTCACTTCACTGCCCCTCCTCTTCCCACCCGTCCCATCCCCTCAGGTCGCGCTGTCTGCTCCCATCCAGCCGTGACCCCACCACTGGCACCTGCCAGGGCTCCTGTGCCTGTGTGCACGTGGAACTAGCTCGACCTGCCCTCAGAGGCCTGGCTCGTAGGGGTAGAGGGCGGGAGGGGAGGGGTGCTGGGCGGGAGGAGGAGGAGGCAGAGGCAGGAGAGGATGAGGGCAGGTGGGGGGCACTGTTTGATTTGGAGGCGCTGAGAGATGTGGTGGTGCCGAGTGTGCTCAACACACTGGTGGCAGGTGAGATGCTTGTTCCTACTCTTGAGAAATCTCGGAACGCAATTGTCGCAAATAGATTGTTCTTTTCCACTGCACTCAATCGTTGTTCTTCTCCCTAGCTCTCTCCCTCATTCTCTGGTACGCCCTCCCACCCCATCCACATAGCCACCTTACACTTCACAACCTCTCTTGCCAATTCAGTATAGTTAGTCAGTTATCACATGGGTGCTGGTCACTTCTGTTAGACCTCTGGAAACCTGCTAATTGTCCTGTCCGACTCGCATAGTCGGCTGTCAACCGTGCGCTTTCTAGTCTTTGTATGTGCATGTGAGTGTGTGTCTGTGCGTGTGTGTGTGCGCCTTTCATGTCTGACTGGCTCTTGGGACACGTACTTCCCACATGACTTTTGAGGCGCCTCAAATAATCTTGTCGGGGTTTCCATGTGTGTATGTGCATGTCTGGCTGGGTCCTTGTGGCATGTGATGGCTGTGTGGGACTGAAACAAGCAGGCAGCACGGGCATCCAAGCAGCCCGCATACAATGGCAGGATGGGGATGACAGCAACAGCAGCAGCAACAGTGGTGGACATCTCGCCCTCGCCGCCTCCCTCTCCTCCTCTCGTGCAGTGTGGCCATCCATCGCTGCTGCTTGTGCGGCTGCTGACTGCAGTGACAGCATCGACTGGACCAAGAGCCGCCCAGAGGGATTGCAGCAAATCGCGGATTCCCTTGGCATCGAAGCTGCTCGCTCCGTGCTGTTTCACGTGAGTAGCCACCTTTCTATTAGGCGCCTCAAGAGCCAGAGGGATTGCAGCAAATCGCAGAGTTCCTCGGCATCGAAGCTGCTCGCTCCGTGCTGTTTCACGTGAGTAGCCACCTTTTTATTAGGCGCCTCAAGAGCCAGAGGGATTGCAGCAAATCGCAGAGTTCCTCGGCATCGAAGCTGCTCGCTCCATGCTGTTTCACATGAGTAGCCACCTTTTTGTTAGGCGCCTCAAGAGCCAGAGGGATTGCAGCAAATCGCAGAGTTCCTTGGCATCGAAGCTGCTCGCTCCGTGCTGTTTCTCGTGAGTAGCCACCTTTTTATTGGGCGCCTCAAGAGCCAGAGGGATTGCAGCAAATCGCAGAGTTCCTTGGCATCGAAGCTGCTCGCTCCGTGCTGTTTCACGTGAGTAGCCACCTTTTTATTAGGCGCCTCAAGAGCCAGAGGGATTGCAGCAGGTGGCTGAGTCCCTTGGCATCGAAGCTGCTCGCTCCGTGCTGTTTCACGTGAGTAACCACCCCTCTTTGTCTCCTTGTCCTTTTCTCTTCCCCTCCCCATCCCCCCCTCTACGCAGCTCTCTCACCCCCGTCCGGATCCCTCCCTCCCTTTGTCACTCTCACTTCCAATCTAATATATGAGCTCAAGCTAACAATGTAATGCTCTGCAAGCTTGCCATAGCAGGGCAATAGAGCAGTCCAATCCATGCGTAACACCATTCAACTGAGAAGATGGTTTTGATGAAACATTTAAGTAACTTCCGGCCTTTCTCGGCCAGTAGGAAGGTCATCCTAATGTTCTACCGCACACCACAATGAGGTGAGGGTCTATTGCTCGTGGCTTGTTGGAGAGAGGAGATTGATATAGTCTCACTGGCAGGAGGCAGAAAGGAGACGCGTTAAGTCTAATGTCGCCGCCTCAAAGCTCCAACAGGAAGACTGCTCCTGCTTGCTCTTGCCTCTTCCCTTTGGAGTTTTTTGGCGCCAACATCGGATTTCAATCGTCTTCTATCTGCCCCCTCGTCAATGACGCAATATCAATCTTTCTTGCTTTCCCGCAACATGCCACAAACAGCGGACCCACATGTCATCGTGGTGTTCGAATGCTTTGCTGCCCTACGTTTGCTGCTGCTCAATTATGCAAGCCTATGTTCGTCTGTTTACTTCCTTCATCAGAAACATCAATTTGCTTCCTCAAATCTGATCTCTCCACACCTGCTTCCTCTAATCTCATCTCTCCACACCTGCTTCCTCTAGTCTCATCTCTCCGCACCTGCTTCCTCTAGTCTCATCTCTCCACACCTGCTTCCTCTAATCTCATCTCTCCACTCCTGCTTCTTCCTCTAGTCTCATCTCTCCACACCTGCTTCCTCTAATCTCATCTCTCCACACCTGCTTCCTCTAATCTCATCTCTCCACACCTGCTTCCTCTAATCTCATCTCTCCACACCTGCTTCCTCTAATCTCATCTCTCCACACCTGCTTCCTCTAGTCTCATCTCTCCGCACCTGCTTCCTCTAGTCTCATCTCTCCACACCTGCTTCCTCTAATCTCATCTCTCCACACCTGCTTCCTCTAGTCTCATCTCTCCACACCTGCTTCTTCCTCTAGTCTCATCTCTCCACACCTGCTTCCTCTAATCTCATCTCTCCACACCTGCTTCCTCTAATCTCATCTCTCCACACCTGCTTCCTCTAATCTCATCTCTCCACACCTGCTTCCTCTAATCTCATCTCTCCACACCTGCTTCCTCTTTCCAATCAACCCCACACAAACCCCTTCCCTCCTATCAGCGTCTGTGTGAGCTGATGAGGGAAGCCGGGGCAAAGGTGCCTCTGCGTCATCTTGCGCTGGTGACGGACTGGATGACTGTCACAGGCGCCCTCCAGGGCATGTCCTTTGCTGCCCTCGCCTCCCACCCCGCCTCCTCGCCCTTCCTCCGGGCCTGTGTAAAGGTGAGTCAACGTGTAAAGGTGAGTCAACGTGTCAAGGGGAGTCAGTGCGTGAGGGTGGATTGCTCTTCCTCAGAGCGCGTGTGTAAGGGGTGGGCCTGCCTCAAGGTGGGTGCGTTAATGAGGGAAGCAGGGGCGAAGGTTCCTCTGCGTCATCTTGCGCTGGTGGTGGACTGGATGACCGTCACAGGCGCCCTCCAGGGCGTGTCCTTCGCCGCCCTCGCCTCCCACCCCGCCTCCTCGCCCTTCCTCCGGGCGTGCGTCAAGGTGAGTTGCTCATTGAGTTTACAAGGAAAAAAAAAGGAAAAAAGAACCCAAAAAGACCAGGAAGAACAACTACTAATAGAACCTGCCCTGCCTCAGGGTGTGTGTGAAAGTGAGTCACCCTTACTCACCCCCCTCTGCTCTTCCCTCTCCCTTTTCTTTTCACCTCTGATCGTTTCTTCTTGCGCCAGGACCCTGTGCGCACATTCACGTCAGCAGCCATCCAGCACGCGTCTGACAACCTGGCGAGCGTCGTTGCCAGCGTGGCGGCTGGCAAGCCCATGCCAGCTGGCACCGCCGCCCCGTGCTTCGATCTGATTCTCCATGAACCACTACCTCCTCCTCCTCCCGGTCCTGTTCCTGCTGCCACAGCTGCTGCTGCAGCGGCTGCTAGAGCTGGTGCCGCCGATGCTACAGCTGCTGGTGCTGGTGGGTGGGGTGGTGGTGCTGCTGCTAGTGGGTGGGGTGGTGGGGTTGCTAGTGGCTGGGGGGTGGGTGGGGATGCTGCTGCTGTTGCTGGTGATGGGGGATGGGGCAGCGGAGGAGGAGGGGATGGGGGATGGGGGGGAGGAGGTGGAGATGGTGGTGGGTGGGGAGGAAGCGGAGGTGGAGGAGAGGGGGGAAGGGGGACGGGAGGGGATGGAGGGGATGGTGGTGCTTGGGGGAAGAGTGGAGATGCAGAGAGGGGAGGATGGGGCACTGGAGGAGGGGAAGGGGATGGTTGTGCTTGGGGGGGGAGTGGAGAGAAAGAGGGGGGAGGATGGGGCACGGGAGGAGGCGGAGAGAAAGAGGGGGGAGGATGGGGCACGGGAGGAGGCGGAGAGAAAGAGGGGGGAGGATGGGGCACGGGAGGAGGCGGAGAGAAAGAGGGGGGAGGATGGGGCACGGGAGGAGGTGGAGAGAAAGAGGGGGGAGGATGGGGCACGGGAGGAGGCGGAGAGAAAGAGGGGGGAGGATGGGGCACGGGAGGAGGCGGAGAGAAAGAGGGGGGAGGATGGGGCACGGGAGGAGGCGGAGAGAAAGAGGGGGGAGGATGGGGCACGGGAGGAGGCGGAGAGAAAGAGAGGGGAGGATGGGGCACGGGAGGAGGTGGAGAGAAAGAGGGGGGAGGATGGGGCACGGGAGGAGGCGGAGAGAAAGAGGGGGGAGGATGGGGCACGGGAGGAGGCGGAGAGAAAGAGGGGGGAGGATGGGGCACGGGAGGAGGCGGAGAGAAAGAGGGGGGAGGATGGGGCACGGGAGGAGGCGGAGAGAAAGAGGGGGGAGGATGGGGCACGGGAGGAGGCGGAGAGAAAGAGGGGGGAGGATGGGGCACGGGAGGAGGCGGAGAGAAAGAGGGGGGAGGATGGGGCACGGGAGGAGGCGGAGAGAAAGAGGGGGGAGGATGGGGCACGGGAGGAGGCGGAGAGAAAGAGAGGGGAGGATGGGGCACGGGAGGAGGTGGAGAGAAAGAGGGGGGACGATGGGGCACGGGAGGAGGCGGAGAGAAAGAGGGGGGAGGATGGGGCACGGGAGGAGGGGGGGGAGATGGTGGTGGGTGGGGAGGAAGTGGAGATAAAGAGGGGGGAGGATGGGGCACGGCAGGAGGGGGAGGGGATGGGGGATGGGGAGGTGGGTGGGGAGGAAGGGGAGGGGAGGAGGGTAAATGGGGAGATGGAGTGACGAAAGAGGGTAAAGAGGGAGGGGGCTGGGGGGTTGCTGATGGGGAGAAAGGGGGATGGGGTGGAGAGAGGGGGAAGGAGGGAGGTGCATGGAGGGGAGAGGAGGAGGCGGAGGGGGGTGCTTGGGGAAGAAAGGAGGGAGAGGAGGAATCAGGGAAGGGCGGATGGGGGGAGGCGAACGGAAGTGGGGAGGGCGAGGAAGGTGGGGGATGGGATGCAGTGGGAGGGAGTGTGCGAGATCAAGACAGTGAGAGAGGAGGGGAGGGAAGAGGGGAGGAAGGATGGGAGGGAGGAGGGCGTGAGAGGTGGCAGGGTGGGCGTGGGAGGGGAAGGGGACGGGGCCGAGGGGGCAGATGGGGGGGAGAGGGGGATGGGGAAGGTGGTAAAGCTTGGGGACGGGGAGAGGGGGGTAGAGGCGGAGGAAGAAGAGGGGGAGGTTATGGGGGAGGGGGAAACAGGAGAGGAGGAGCCGATTGGGGGGGTGACAGCACGGGACATGAGGGAAGGCATGCTCACGGATGGGGACAGGGAGGGAGGCAGGGAGGGGTGGAAGAAAGGGAGGAGGAAGGTGGGTGGGAGGAGGAGGAAAGGTGGGAGGGAGAGGAGGTAGCGGTGCTTGAAGCTGCTCTGGCAGAGCTGCTGTGCATGGGGGGTGGCGGGCAGGGGAGCAGGGGCAAGGGCCGGCGGCGGTTCAGGCTGGGACGGTGGGGCACGGTGGAGCCCCTTTGGGGTGGCGGGAGAGTGCGAGGGCGAGAGGGGGGTGAGCGGGAGGGATGGGCCTCAGGGGTTGATGCTGCTGCTGCTGCTGACGGTTCCGGTGCTGGTGGTGCTGCTGCTGCTGGTGGGAAGGAAGAGAGAGGCGGATGGGGTAGTAATGAGAATGGCGGTGGAGGGTGGGGGAGAGAGGAGAAGGGGAAATTAGAGGATACAGCAAAGGAGGTGGTGGCAGGGGCAGGGTGGGGAGGTGCAGGGGAAGGTGAGGGAGCGTGGGGCAATGGGGGGGTTGCTTGGGGGAAAGAGGCCGCAGGAGGGGGTGGTAAGGGGGGAGAGGGCGCAGGGGCAGGGTGGGGAAATGCGGAGGGGGGAGTTGGAGGGTGGGGCAGCGATCAAGGGCAAAAGGGAGGTTGGGGGGCGGGAGGAGAAGAGGAGAGTGCAGGTGGATGGGGGAAAGCAGGAGGAGGAGAAACGGGTAAAGGCGGAGGAGGATGGGGGAGCGCAGGGGAAAAGACGAATGAGGGTGGGGGGGCATGGGGGAGTGCAGGGGGCGGAAAGAGTGTGGGTGGGGGAGCATGGGGCAAAGCGGTGAGGGAAAGAAGTGAGGGTGGAGGAGGATGGTGCGATGCAGGGGGCAAAAAGAGTGAGGGTGGGGGAGCATGGGGCGACACAGGAACGCCCTCTGTCTCTCACCAGCACAAGCCCAAGCGCAAGACAAGCACTTCCAACACTCCCAACCACCCCATGTACTATCGGCCGCGCCGACACACCCACCCTCTTCTCTGCTCTGACCTGCCCCTGGCCCAATCCCTGCTGGGGTCCCTGCTGGGAGGCCTTTTGGGTGCACGGAGAGAGGCAGACGGAGAGGCGAGTGAAGGAAATGCGTCCGGAGATGCCTTGTTTCCTCCTCCTCCTCCGCTGCCCCCTTTCTCCGCTCCACCCTCAGACCTTCCTCCTCCCCCTCCTCTCCCATCTTCCCATGACACTTTCGCTCCAGACACCAACCCCCTCGCTGCTCCTCCTTCACCCCTTCCACTTCCTCCTCCCCCTCCACCTCCCCCTCTGGCCGCCTCCCTCGCCTCCTCCCTGTCACAGCACCCGACCGCCATGCTCCCGGGTCTGCACCCCTCCTCTCTTCCCGTCTTCCTTGACCGATGCGGACAGAAAGCAGAGCAGAGGGCAGAGGGGGCAGAAGGGGCAGAGAGGGCAGAAGGGAGGGCAGAGAGGGCAGAAGAGAGGGGAGAAGTAGGGGCAGTAGAGAAGGGAGAAGAAAGGGCGGAAGAGAAGGCAGAAGAAGGGGCAGAAGAGAGGGGAGAAGTAGGGGCAGTAGAGAAGGGAGAAGAAAGGGCGGAAGAGAAGGCAGAAGAAGGGGCGGAAGAGAGGGCAGAAGGGGCAGAAGAGAGGGCAGAAGGGGCAGAAGAGAGGGCAGAAGGGGCAGAAGAGAGGGCAGAAGGGGCAGAAGAGAGGGCAGAAGGGGCAGAAGAGAGGGCAGAAGGGGGCGATAGGAGGGCAGAGGCGGGAGAAGTGATGGCAGAGGGGGGACAAGAGGTGACAGCGGAAGTGGTGAGCCTGCGACGAGTGCTGGCAGAGAAGCTGAAGCAGTGGAGGGAGCGGAAGGAAGAGGAGACAGGCACGGAAGGGCGCTCTGATGCTTATGCTGATGCTGATACCCCTGCTGTTGCTCTTGCTGCTGATGATGCTTATGTCGCTGATAATCCCTCCACCGCTGCAGCTCCTGCTAATGCCCTTTCATCCGTTCATGCTGATGCTGACGCCCATGACGCACCTGGTGTTGCTGTTGCTCCAGAGGCTTGCATTGAAGAGGAGAGGCAGCCAGCTCAGCATCAAGAGTCTCAACAGCAGCGGCAGCAGCAAGGCAGGAGAAGCAGAGTCCGGGTGTACATGGGGGATGAGGACGATGGGAGGTACGATGCAATGGACATGCTGCAGGCAGTGAGGCGGCGGGCGTGGGAGCTGCTGCACGTGAGGTACCACCCGGAGCAGGTGCTATCTGAGGACGACCGTGACTTCGTTGTGAGCAAGTTGCTACGGCACCACCCCAGGGCGCTCGAGAAGATGGCTGCTGGCGTGGCGGCAATCAAGGTGGGTGAGCGTGCGGAGTCTGGGTGCATTCAGCCACAGGTACGAAGGTTCTTTCCGTCTTTCTTTTTGTCAGGGCCCCACCACAGTCCAGTCCAGAGCACCCCAGCACCATTCTCTTCCTTGAAACCATGTGTATTGGCGCCTTGTAAATGCCTGCTCCTGCCCTTCCCCCCCTCCACAGGTGGATCATCATCCAGAAGACCCGAACACCATCTATTTTTCCATCGTCCACCCTGCCACTGATGCCATCGTTCGTCTCACCCCTACCCCCCTGCCCCTCCCGCCCTCCCCATCTCCCCACCTCCACAGGTGGACCATCACCCAGACCACCCCAACACCACCTGTTTCTTCATCGTCCACCCTGCTGCCGACACCATCACCCACCCTGCTGCCAACTCCATCGTCCATCCTCCTCCCGCTCCTGACTCATCCAGCGAGCCCGCAGACAACTCTTCTCAGCACTCTCCCAGATGTTCCCCACAGGTCACTCCTGCCTCCCCTTCCCGACCGTCCCCCTCCGCACTACCTACCTCCCTTCCCCCTGCTTCCCCTTCCACGCTCCCTGCCTCGCCTCCTCCCGAACCTTCCCAGCCGACCACCTCTACCACTGAGTTCCCTCCCTCTCCCTCCCTCCCTCCACCTCCTCCTCCTCCTCCTCCCGCTCCCACTCCTCCTGTTTTCCCTTCTCCTCCTCCTGCTCCCGCCGTGCCCTCCTCTCCTGCATGCTCGGATTTCTCTTACAACAAGTGTCTGCCTGGTTTGGCAGCGTCCATGGGTGTTCCTCTGTCTGACCTGGGGTGGGGCCGCATGGAGGCGCAGCAGCAGCGCAGGGCGAGAGAGAAAACTGCACCCACACCCCGTGACACACCTCTTGACGCACCTCGTGACGCACCATACGATGCGCCTCGTGGCGCACCTGGTGGTGACGCATTTCGTGACACGCCTCGTGACGGACCTGGTGACACATCACATGGTGCACCTTTTGACACACCCATTGACACACGTGTCGACGCACCGGATGGACCTGGTGCGACACCTTGTGAAGCATCTCAAGACACACCCCATGACACACCAATTGACACCCCCCACCATGTTAGAATCTTACGGGAAAAGTGAGTGTCGACTATCAAGGGGAAAAAGTACAAAGGAGAAACCTAAGGGGTTGTACCCCACAGTGAGTACCCCATTAAGCCTAACCAACCTATAACATATATACACATATGTTTGACACACCCCCATAGGCAAAGTGGGGGAGAACAGAGGGTCACAAGACCAGTCAGGAAGTGCAAAGCAAGCTCAGGGTGGATCACAACGTCACCACGCAGTCTGAGCACAAGCAAGAAGGCCACAAGGCCAGTTCACATGCAGAAATATATATGTAACAACAACAGTACAGTGATATCTACCTACAAGAACAAGCATGCAGGAATACATATAAATCATGGTACAAACAAAGTCTACAGCAAGTGAGGAAGAGTGGGCACAAGGCCTAACAAGGTGCAGAAACGCTGATGATCACCAGGCGGAAGCGCCTTGGTGAATATATCAGCAGTGTTGGCCTGAGTGGCCACGTAGGTAAGATGAAGCTGGCCACGCTGCTGCAGCTCTCGAGCAAGAAAGTAACGGAGAGCGATGTGCTTCGTTCTGTGCTCCAGTCTGTGCTCCTGACACAAGGCAATGGCGGCCTTGTTGTCGACGTACAACACTGGAGGAGAACTAGGCCGCTCTCCCAAGTCAGTCAGCAGGTAGGTGAGCCAGCGAAGCTCCTGTGCAGCCATGGCTGTGGCGTAGATCTCAGCCTCACAACTGGAGCCGAGAACTGAAGACGAGCGTGTAGAACGCCAAGAAACTGAACCAGAGCCAAAGCTGAAGGTGTAACCCTGTGACGACCGCTGCGTAGCCTAGTCGTCAACCCAAGAGGCGTCCGAGTGACCTGTGAGGACAACGTCACCCCGTCCTCCAAGCACGAGCTCCATGCCCGATGTACTACACAAGTAGTGTAGTACCCTCTTGGCAGCATCCATGTGCACCTTTCGGTGCCGACCAGGAGCCACGTAGCGAGCCAGAAGGCCAAGAGGGTACGCAAGGTCAGGACAAGTGCAAGTCATCAGGTACATGAGGCAGCCCACTAACTCTGGGTAAGGACCACTCGACTCTACGGACTCGTCCGAAGGTGGAGCTGAGAGCGAGTGACCTGTAGCCAGAGGAGTGGCCTGTGCTGAGGACCAGGTGAAACCGAAGCGCTGAAGGACCTGCTGCACCATGTGTGACTGAGTCAGTGTGATGGTGCGGCGTGCTCTGTCCCGGGTGATCTGCAAGCCAAGGTAGCTGCGCAGTTCACCCAGGTCTGTGCACGTGTGTCTCTTCTGCAGCTCCGACTTCACCAGGGCGAGAGCCTCAGTGTCAGCAGTGGCAAAGACCAAGTCGTCGACGTGCACGAGAACGTAGAACGGCGGCAGCGAAGTGTCGGTGCGCAAAAACAGCGACGGGTCAGCAGTCGACGGAGCAAACCCAAGAGCCGCAAGTGTCGTCCTCAGTGTGTCGTGCCACTCACGTGGCGCCTGGCGGAGACCGTAGACCGGCCGCCGGAGGCTCCACTGGGTACCAGGAGGGAACGACCCAGTGAAGCCAGGAGGGCGGCGCAGCCAAATCTCCTCGTGCAGGCTGCCCTGTAAGAAGGTTGTGCTGAAGTCAAGAGAGTGAAGCTCGTAGTCACGCTGAGCGGCAACGTGCAGCAGCACCCGAAGACTGGTCATCTTCGGGGTGGGGGAGAAGGTCTGGAAGAAGTCAACTCCCTCTCGCTGACTGAAGCCTCGAGCCACGTAACGAGCCTTGAAGACAGGCGGAGAACCTGGCGGCCGCTTCACCCTGAAAATCCACATGCCACTGACAATGTTCGCCCCAGGAGGGGGAACCTCGTCGACGTAGGTGCCTGTGGACTTCCAGGATGCCATCTCTGCGTCCATGGCTGTCTGCCTCTGAGAGGAGTACTCACCCGCGATCGCCTCAGCATAAGAGCGCGGGGTAGGGATGTCCGGTGCATCCGGGTCTCCCTCAGGGGCAAGCAGCATGGATACGAGATGAGGCGCAGCGGCTGCAAGACACTCAAGGTCCTCCTACCTGTCCTCAAGGACGTCCGTGCCAAGAGCACACTCACCCCCGACGGACGGAGGACAGACAGACGCAGACTCAGCAACAAGACCGGCGGCGTAGTCTAGACGACAGTGAGCAGCAAAGGCAACAAGCTCAGTGACTAAGGCAGACGCAGCAGTAGACTCAAACGACGGGTCAGTGACAACAGTGGCAAGCAGACGCGTGACAGTAGAGTGCTCAGCACGAAACCGGTCAGACGCAGGGTCAGCAACGACAGGCAGAGAGGACGCAGGGGGAGGCGGCAGAGGAACACGACGACCGGAACTGACAGGGGAGACAGGACGCGACACAGGCTCACGACGCTCTGCAAGGCCACCAGGCTGCTCTTTGTACGGAGAATGAGCAGGCAGCGGTGAGCCAGGCTGTAACGAAAGACCAGTAGACGAGGGAAGACTGAGAACCTGGCGAAGTGCAGAGTCAGGTGGTGGCTGAGACGACGGAGACGGCGGAGCAAAGAACAGGCGCGGCTGAGCAGTGCCACCAGCAGCTCCAGCACTGCCAGCAGCTCCAGTACCCCCAGCAGCTCCAGCAGCTCCAGCAGCTCCAGCACCCCCAGCGGCTCCAGCACCTCCAGCAGCTCCAGCAGCTCCAGCAGCTCCAGCACCTCCAGCACCTCCAGCAGCACCACCACCAGCCCCAGCAGCTCCAGTACTCCCAGTACGAGCACCTCCAGGACCAGCGACACCAGCAGAAGAACCTCCAGCAGGAGAGCCCTGAGGTGCAGAGGTGGGACGCCGACGGCGACCGTACCAGTCGTGCAGCTGCTGGGAGGTGAGGGGCACACGCGGACGAAGACGGCTACTCCAAGGAGACCGCGTAACAGCAGTCTCAGAACCCTCAGGCAACTCACCCCCAGACTCAGCACTCCCAGGCTCCGCACACACAGGCTCAGCACCCCCAGACGCAGCACCTCCAGACGCAGTACCCCGAGACGCAGCACCTCCAGGCTCCACACGCTCAGCGCCCCCAAGCTCCGCACCCCCCGGGACAGCACCACTCGCAGCAGGACCGGAGTTACCAGTGACCTCAACAGGTGCAGGCGCAGGGGGGTCTACCTGAGAGACACCTGAAGGAGCATGACCTGGTGCGGGGAGGGGGTCTACCTTGGGAGGACCTGGGGCGAGAAAGAGCGGCGGGGGGGGGTGAGGAGCAGTGCGGTAAGGGAAGAGGCGGTAAAAGGGGACCGACTCGTCAAAGGTGACGTCCTGAGACGCAAAGACACGGCGCGAGGCGGGGTCGTAAAACTGCCAGCCAGGCGCGTCAGGGACAAAGCCAAGGAAGACGCAAGGAATGGCGCGAGGGGAGAGCTTGTCCGCGGTGGTATCGCGGACAAAGGCACGAGCACCCCAGACCCGGAAACGCGACGCGTCGCCAACCTTCCCCGTCCACAGCAGTGTGGGCGAGGTCTCCGGCAAGGAGACACGGGGCCAAAGGTTGAGCTGATGCGCGGCGTACCGGACCGCAAACGGCCACAGAAAATGGGGGGCAGCCGCATGGATCATGGAGGTACGAGCGACCTCCATGACTAAGCCAATGCGACGCTCAGCAACCCCATTCTGTTGCGGAGAGGCCGGAAGCGTGAAAGTCTGGCGGATGCCGTGCTCCGCACAGAAGGCTGCCAAGAGGTCTGAGGAGAACTCACCACCTCTGTCAGAGTGCAGACGCAGGACAGGAAAGTCCGACTGGAACCGCTCGCGGAGCTGGAGACGAGTAGCGCGGATCCAGGGGATCAAAACATCAGGGACACCCCCCTTGCGCTGCAAGGGGAAGACCGTGGTGTAGCGCGTGTAGTCGTCGACAACCAGCAGGAAGTACCGCTCGTGGCCCTGTCCACGGACGCGGGCTGGGCCCCACACGTCCAGGTGGAGAGTCTGCAGTGGAGCCTCTGTGGGAGGGAACGAGGAGGAGTGAGGAGCGGCGCGCTGCCGCCCCTCGACGCAGGGAATGCAGGGCGGCGCAGGCGAGGGAGGGAGGGGAGGCAGAGACCTGGGAAGCCAAGAAACCAGGAAGCGGGAGTGCATGCTGCGTAGGCGAGGCAGGGAGGGGTGACCAAGGCGGTGGTGCCACAGGAGAGTGTCGTGCGACAGCCGGCGACACTCACACTGTGTAGCTACCTGAGCAGATGCGTGCAACTGGGGAGACAAAGGGGCGGAGCGTGACGCAGTGGTGAGGGTGTACAGACTGGACCCCGGTGCACGAGCGAACGTGGCCAGGTGGCGACCAGTCTGGGAGCACGTGCAAATCGCCACACGCTGCCGGCCAGGGGTGAAGGTGTCAACCCCCGCATCCTGGAGGACAGCGTTACTCACCAAGTTCGTAGAGAACGAGGGGAGGTGGAGACCAGACAGCTCACCAGACGGGACCGCCGGACACGGAAGCACAGTGGAAGACCGTGCAAGCACTGGGCCCCCAGAGGGGTCAGCCAGTGAGACAGGAACAGGTGCAGGGAGGGGAGTGACTGTGGTACTGTCGAGAAAGAAACAGCGCGAAGCACCAGAGTCAAGTGTAAAGGTGTGCAAAGCCTGTGCAGGCGCAGTACCAAGGGGAGCAGACTCACAAGCACCTAGTGCTGCAGGGGCTATACCAGGGGTTATACCAGGATCCGGCGGCACACACAAGTAGCAGTCACCCTCAGCACTAACAGACAAGGCATACATAGCAGCAAGAATTGCCTCATAGGCAAGATCAAAGATAGGTACATCACGCCTAA